TTGAACTCGCCACTTACAGAATCTTTATTTCTGATAAGTATTATTTCATTAATTTGTATAATTTATTGAAATTCCTCAATATTTTCGTTGCATCTCATGGACTCATTTTTCAAACGGAAACATCTTTTTTTACAAAAAAATGTGTTTGAACTATAATATTTGAACGTTAATATGCGGTAAACGTATAAAATCATTTCATTGATGATTTAATTAAATACAGAACAGAATGAAAAAATAGCTACTTTTTCTTTAGTCTATTTCTACTTTTAATAAACATATACAACAATATGTATGTGAGGCTCAATCACAATGATCTGAGATAGATCCAAAAAGAAAATAGCATTGTATAATTGATATTTCTTGATCCCATTTGCACGTCATTATTAACGCACTTTTTGTACAAACGAATCTGTCTTTCTTTGCAAAAAGCATTTGTTCTGACCTTTGGCAGCGCCCATTAATGATGATAGCAGCTTTTCTGTTCAGAGTAGAGATCTGTAGAGCAAGAATTGAAAGATATTGTGAAAATTTTCTTTGAAGAACAATTATATAAATGCTAAAGAGTGAAGACTGTCGGATCGACATAATCTTGTCCTGTATCTTCTATTTTAATATATTATTTTTAACATGATGTGATTGTTGAAATATTGAAACCAATGATATTAAATATAGGGTGTACAGTATATGTTGATTTATTTACTTATGAAATCTTGTAAAAGGGCATCATGTACCAGAAGCAAAGGAAATTTATAACAAGATTTTGCTTAACAGGATAGTGAACAATGCTTGATAAATACGATTAACCATTTTTGAGTTAAAATCGTGAATAAACTATTTTTCTATACAGAGATTATTGTGTCTTGAAAATCAAAAACGTTTCACACATAGTTGTAAAATGTATTATTCTTGTAAACAAAACAAACTACAAAATAAAACTATTTGAAAATGATCATTATTCATAAGATAACTGCTGATCCATCTGAGTCCTCATTGAATTATGAATCTTTTCGAATATTCTATCGTATTGTGAGAAATCGTGTATTTGTTTTCATTACTTTATTGTGAAAACTTTCAAGGACATGTCCGCTTTCCGAAGGAAATGGAAGTTTCAAGTTTATTTGTTTAGATAGACGATTTCTGTAGGCACATTTGCTGACAAAGCTTAGTAAAGTTTTCACATTTTTTGCTCCAAAGGCGCAATGCTGATAAGCTTTTTTTATCAACGATCTGATCAATGTAGACGTAGTCTACGTTGAGTAATTTACCTTATTTAAAGAAACATCTCAATAAATAGCCAATGACAGAATCATTTAACAAAAGTAAAAAAGTATGCCATTCAATATGAATATGATTTAAAATCCTTTTTTTTTTATAGATATTCTAATCCCCCATAATGAATAATATGATATCTGTCTACTATGGTTTGAAAAGAAGAAATCGAAGAATAAAATCCGAATAGTAATTGATACAACAATGACACTACCACCAACACCAACACCAACACAACCATGTCGACTTAATATGTATACCTATATCTATATAAATTTATATATTTCACATTCGACTGAAATATATTTTCTCCCTGCTATCTTTTCAAAAAAGATTTTTTCTTTTTAAATGAAAAAAGAGAGAAAGTTAAAAAAATGATATTGATTTCTTTTTATTTCATTCTCAATGCTACATCATTTCATTGATACATTATTAAATTTGAACACAGGAGGAGAAAAATTGAATTAATTCAATGTTAATGATTAAAACAGAATAAAATTATAAAAATTATTGATATCCCAAAATCAATATGTAATATGACAATTGAATGAATTAACGGTCTACGTACATCAATATCATCTTCGAAACATTCATCAGTGAACATATCGTACGAGAATGAAAAAGTCAGTAACGATTAAGAACATTGTTTAACAAATGAATCAGTCTTAATAATATTAATTGATATTAACGAATACGAGAATTAATAATATTAAAACAGTTCAAAGTTCAATTAGAAAACACTTTATAAAGTAAGCGAATATTCGATATAATCAAATTATTGCAAATCGTGTTTGCTTATTTCTCCATCATCAATTTGTGTTTCTATTAGATAATAAATAAAATAATTTTAATCGTAGAACATATATAATCATAGAGTAGTAGGAAAATAATAAATTAAATAGAAAGAAATTGAGAATTAAAAGTTCTTCCTTCAAAAATTAAAGTTTTACATCGTTATAAAATTAGACTGATTAAATTAAATCGAAAATAAAGTTAGTTCCTTGTCTGACATGACTATTTTTGAGGAAAAATCCAAGCAGACAAGAAAATTCGTCCGAGGGATTGCATGGGTAATATCTGAAAAGACATTTTTTCAAATCTGATAAAACAATTCTCTATTAATGTATATTTTTATCATATTTGGGATTGAATTTTACTAAAAAAACAACTCGACTAAGAACAGACAGCCTTGACCTTCACTTGAACAAAATATTGGCTGAAATGTCCAAATGTTACTACAAAATTCGAAATATTACTAAAATATTAAAAAACTCGTCTTCCAGGAGACGTCTTCTAAAATTCTTCACTAGAATGTTGATTACAAAGTAATACTATTGAATATAACTCTAAATCTCAACAGAATTTTTGACGATACATTCAATACTTTGAAAATCATGACTTCTTTTAGAAAGTTTATAAAAATGAGAATACTGAAGTGATACTAACAGACAATAATTTTCAGGATTTATTTTTAAAAAAAGACAAGTAAAACAGTATCGCCAAGTTAAACTTAATGACAGTTTCACGCTCACATAGAATTTAAAAATATCCACTGGCAATAGTTCCTAGTACAAAAACCACTATATCTTTTTATCTAAAATAAACTTATATCGTTATAATAAGGAAAGAAATATATTATTATCCTCACCCTCAGACTTAAGGAAGATAATAATTAAAAGACAGACTTGATAGAAGTTTTTTATCTTTATTTTTTTTTATTTTATTTTTTCTCATCTCACTAAAGATTCCTTCTTTGCAAATAAACAATTCGGTTTTCGCCCTAAACACTGTACTCTTGACGCCTTGGTATTTCTTTCTTCTACTGTTTCTAACTTCTGGAATGCTGGTGTAAAGTGTGTTGGTGTGTCTTTTGATTTCTCTAAAGCGTTTGACTCTGACTCTCACTCTTTTCTGTTAAAAAAATTGTCGTGTTGTGGTGTGAATGACTGTTTACTCTCTCTCTTGTCATCTTACCTCGCCAATCGTTTACAGTGTGTGATTGAGTCTATCTCCTCTCCTTCTCCTGTTTCTTCTGGCGTATCTCAAGGCAGTGTGCTTGGGCTGCTTTTATTTCTTATTTTTATTAATGACTTGCCTCTTTCTCTTTCATATAATTGTGAAATCTGTCTTAATAAAGTCCCTCTTTCCGTTGTGTTTTCTGTTCGTTGTTTCGGAGTTCTTGTTTCGCACGATCTTAGGTGGAGTGAACATGCCAGAGACATTGTTCTTGCTTGTCGACGCAAGCTAGGCGCACTGAGCCGTGTCTTTGGACTCGCTCCGTCAGAGGTTCGGCGTCGAATCTATCTTTCTTCTATTCTTCCTAAACTTGATTACTGTTGTGCCTTATACGATAGTTCCTTTTCGCTTTCCGTACTCGAATTCTGTAAATAATCTTGCTTCTCGTGTTATTTCTCGTAATTTTGATTATCGCTTTTCTAGCTCTTTACTTGTGTCACAACTTTCTCTTCCAAACCTCTCTCTTCGCCGTAAATATTTTCGACTAGTGCAGTTTTTCAAAATTTATCATCGTCTTAGTCCTCTTTCTGTCTTTTACTCTATTCATCGTCCTCATTACTCTTCCTTACGCTGTCATCATTCTAAATATGTTCGTATTCCAACCTCAATGGTTTTTCTTCTCAAACAGTTTTCTCTTCTTTTTACTATTCAACTATTACCGACTGGAATAAACTTCCTGAGTCAGTTATTTGTTTTACTTCATTCGCGTCTTTCAAAAAGGCACTAGTTCAGTATCTCTTACAGAAAAATATCAGCCGTGTTCCTAGTCATAATTAACTGGTATTGGTTGTTTCTCTAGAGTTATTTTATTTGTGTCTATCTCTTATTGTTACTTTTATATCCTCGTTGCATATTCCAGTCTCTTTGTTTTTTCTTTTGTTTACTTCTGTTATTATCTTTAGTTTTATTTATTTATTTAATTTATTTTCTTTTTTTTGTTTCCCTATCTCTTTTTATTCTGGTCAGAGTCATCGATATTACAGGTCATGGACCTCTGATGACTCTCGAGTGATTCGAAATAAATCCAGTTAAGTGTTGAAATATTATGAACTCTCTCACTATCACGTATTATCTCATCTTCATCATGATCATCCATTTGCAGTTTTCAAGCTTTATTGACTGGCTTATACCAGTCTGTTTTTTTGTTGTCCTGTTAAACAGAATAATAAATTTTATAATTTTAAAATCGAATTTAAAAAATCTGAAAATGGAATTAGAGAAATATAATTTTTCTTCAAAATGAAATTCAGATACCGTATTTTTATTTATGATAATAACGATATACTGAAAACAAAAATGTTCATCGTTGATAATAATTTGATAAAACATTCTGAACAATGTAGGCAATATAAATTTAACAGTGTCTTCAGTTTTGCGCCATTACTCTATTCTCTTCAATTGTGTTTCCATGCATGTAGTGTCTATACATGTTGTATTCGTCTATCGTCTGCATTCTTCTTACATACATATGCATGCTTCGTTAGTGAGTGACCTTGATTTTGTATGTGTGGTGTGGCATGCATTTGTTTTCCTCTCTTACATTTCATCATCAGCAGCTCGATTTTTTATCATGTTCTTGTTTTTGAAAATATTCTACAATATTCGTGGTGTTATTTGCATTGTATAACTGAAGCGCGTGTACGTTAAAAATATATAAACGATACGAAAATTATTCTTGTTATATCATTGTTAAAGAAGACAATTAATTACTAATTATGTCAGGATCTACAGAGAAAGCTGATAGTAGCAAAAAAAATACCAAAAGTGAAGGTGATCAAAGTAAAAATGTACAACAACAAGCCGGAGCAGGTGACAAAGCTAAAGATCAAGGTAATACGGACAAAGCGAAAAACGTGGCGGGAGATAAGAAGAAAACAGATGGAAAAGAAAATAAATCTGATGCAAAACCTGAAGCGAAAAAATCTGATGGTGGAGGAGATAAGGCCAAGGGTGCTGAAGGTGGTAAACCTGAGGCGAAAAAACCAGATGGTGGAGGAGATAAGGATAAGTCTGCAGGTAAAGGTGCCGAAGGTGGCAAATCTGAAGCCAAAAAACCTGATGGTGGAGGAGATAAGGCCAAGGGTGCTGAAGGTGGCAAACCTGAGGCGAAAAAACCAGATGGTGGAGGAGATAAGGCCAAGGGTGGTGAAGGTGGAAAATCGGCTGGTGGTCAAGCGGCTGCTTCGGGTGGCGTCGGAAGTGGTGGAGATGCAGAAAAAGGTGCAAAAGTTTTTAAACAAAAATGTACTCAATGTCACGTAATTGAAAAAGGTACTGTATTGTAAATATTATGTTAAATTGAATATATATATATCGATTTTATTTATAATTAAGGTGCTGGTAATAAACAAGGTCCAAATCTACATGGTTTAATTGGTCGTCATACTGGCCAGGTAAGTTTGTTAATTCATTATTGAAACTGAACTGAACTATAAAAAGAACCAAAATGTTTCTCTTTTAGGTACCTGGTTTTGATTATAGTGAGGCAAATAAATCAAAAGGGGTAAGTCAAAATTTATTTCACAATTTTGTGAGTATCAACTATAAAAGCCTTTTTTTATTGTTTATTTAGATTGAATGGTCTGAAGAAACTTTGTTTGAATATTTAAAAGATCCAAAAAAATATATACCAGGTACAAAAATGATATTTGCTGGTATTAAAAAAGAAGATGAACGAAAAGATTTGATAGCTTTTTTAAAAGAAGCGTCATCTAAGTAAAGTAATGTGTTTATCGTTGCCATATTTTTTTCCTTAAAAAGAATGTTTTCTTAATTAAGCTTTTTAACTTATTTTCTATTTATGACAAATTTTTTGTTAAAAAAAATAAAATAAATCCGTACTTTTAGCTAGAATTATCTTGTGTACGGTAGTGTTTTCTACTCAGGTAAGAATTGATCACATGTAGTACTTTGTCAACAGTTCTCTAGTATACGAGACAACAATATTTTTTTTTCCATTTTTATTCGTGCAAAATCAAGTTTTGTTTCTTTCTTTTTTCTGACTTTGGTTATTCGTAGGTAATTTTTGTATTCTCATATGATAATCTGATATTACTCCAGTGTTCACTATACACCTATTTGTTTTATGTGAACAACAATATTTTTGTTTATTTTTGTTGCTTCTTTGTCATCTTTCTAGTTGAAATTTGTAGTTTCAAAAGAAAATCTTATGTTTTTTTTTCGTACACTCGTCCGAATAAACTAAAGTTTAAAAATCATACATATGTAATCGTTACTGCAACTACGGCATAAATTTTAGCGAAGATACAACAAAGTATTATAAGACACGGATGTGTTTAAAGTGTTTATAAAAATTATAAACAACAGTAAACCATTTTAACTACGATAAGAAACAGAATAATGGAGACATTAGTAAAATAATTCTAATTTTAACTAGTTTTATATAATTTTTACAAAAAAAACACACATCATAACTTGAATAATAACAAGTAGACATAAAAATCGATCAAAATTCTTTTTTAATAGCATACCAAAGTAACGGTGTCAAATAATAATGTATGATTACTCTTTTTAAACATCATCAATCAACATAGTTAATTATTCTGAAAACACTCTTCGTCATAGTCCCCAGTTTGATTTACAAATCTTAATTATAAAATCGTCTATTTTTGTATCATGGAATAAAAGATTATATAATGTATTACTTATTATTGATATGAAGAATTTTGTGCAACGAGTCATACATAAAAACTCAAGAGTTTAAACATATTTTAAAGGTGGAGTTTGTTAGTATTCAAATTGATTGTATAAAATAATAATTTAGTATCGATTTATTTTTTATTGAATATGAAGTATGTTACTGTGGTAAGAAAATGGTAATGTATATCATTATAATTTTAATTCAATTGAATCTCTTCCGTCAGAAAACACATTTTTCGTCACATCTTAGTTAAAAATATGAAAAGAAAATAGTATATGAATGTGTGATTTTATTCTTAATCGATACTTCTATAAGTAACAGCTTGTTACACCGTACAACTTTCACTACTAATAGCTTTGTTCTTTATTTGTATCATCACTTTGAGACAGACAACTGGGTTAAAAAAAAAATATATTTCTTCAACGATCAATTCATCTCTTAATTTCTTTGTGTTGTTAGACTACGTCACAAAGTTCAGTTGACTAAATTTTTTTAAATTTAATATGAATGATCCAACATGTCAAGTGACAGTTATTGATGAATTGTGGCAAAATGGATTTGTAAGTGTTTTTTTCTTGCTTCATACAGTACGCATAGTAGTTTGCCCCATCTTTCACTTAATTTAAAAAAGTAATAAACATCTAAGATGCTCATACCAATTGAAATGACGAAAGATTCCGAATTTATTCGTCGTAGACAAAATACGGATACTTTTCTTTTTAAAGAAAAAAAAACATTGGTTTGAAGAATTTCTGCCAACTATTTATCCTAAAACGATTTGTACAATTTACGATTGTTGTTATTATTTTCTTTTTTAAAGAATCATCATTTGTATGATGAACAAGATCGTACATTATATAGACATAACGTTGATCTTAATAATAAAGTGAAAATGTTAGAACGACAAGTAGAAACATTGAAAAAATTAGATAATAAGGTATTGTGACTTCATTTCAGTTGATGTTATAAATAAAAAAGCTGACAAATATTTTCTCTTGCAGCATCACGATCATAAAGAGCTTTTGAAACGAGCATTAGCCAAGCAAATTTCAAAAGATTTAATGGAAAGAAATCGTTTATTTGCAAAAAAGAATGAAGAAATTCAAAATTTAAAGAAAAATATCAATGAATTAATGTCAAAAAGTCACGTAAGTAGACAGAATTACATAGTAGCAGAGAAGAAAGACACAAAAAAACTGATGGTAAAAGTCTATCTGACCTTTTTCAAAGATTATTTAACATAATAGTGGCAACTTTTATCCAGATTAAAAAAATTTGAGCCAAATGCTGCTTTCAAGGAAAACAAATACTCACGTTATTTTTAGAATTTTCATATTGAATTTCTTGAGTCTGCATCATGTCAAACTGATATTTAAAAAAACAAAACGCATCATTTTAGAATCATTCTGCAAACAACTAAGGTGAAAGATAGATCTTTCTTTCTTTCAATTTGGCATTGTTTACAACATCTAATATATGCACGGAAATGGCAATATTATTTTCATAATAAGAATTTTTGAATGAGAATATCTGAGTGAATTTTCCGGTAGTTGTCATGGCTGATTAACGCTAGATTAATTTTATATATACATCATTTAACTTTTGTGTTTTGAGAATATGTTCTTCACCAAGGTGGTTAGGTTGTTAAATCCTAAAATCCTTCCATTTTTCTCTTTCTTTCTAAGGTCAAAGAAAACAAAGCTTCTACATTTTCAGTGTGTGACTTGAATATCTAATCAATGAGCTTTGTTTCAATAAAGAAAAAGAAAAAAATAACTAAAAATGTTTTTTCTCTACTTTTTTTTTTTTTATATAAAAAATGCAAGTTTTCTCTATCATGTTCATCATAAAAGAAAAAAAAAAACAACTGAATACTCAGTCATTTTTTTTCTTTTCTCAGCCATCTTTCTCTCTCTCCTGTCTCACATCTTCATACAGATATAGAATAAACATTTCAAGAATAGCAAAAAAAAAAGGAGAACGTTTTCTCTTCTTTTTGGTAATCATATTAGTTATTTTATTTTCGGTTCGTCAACTAAAGATATAAGTTACACAATAATAGTGCTATCCTCTGAACTTGACAATTTCTACACATACACTATATCACAAATTAATAAAGATTTTTCTTAAAAAAATTTATTATTATTATTATTATTATTCAATGATAATTCGCTGTAATTAATAAAATGCGATTTTAATCAATGTCAACACGTTCTATAAGCGGTTTTATTCGTGATGTCCGAGATAAAAGTGCTAAAGGCGTAACATTAGCACAAACATTAGCACAGGTATAGTTCAGTTTGTGATGATAGTTGAACATCAACAAGGCACTAAAACATATTATACATTTTTATATAAGATTTTTTTAAAGTAAGAATTTCTCTCCTAGGGCATTTCGGAAAATTCTGCTCTATGTCTTTCATCTATTGTTTTTTATGATTACATACGCTACAAAAAAAGATATTCTCGCTCCTAGACCTCATTAACAATGATAACTAGTGACTTTAAATTTTGAGTGATTATAGCGTAGCTCTCACTAAAATCCTGATCATCCTATCATATAGACATTTGTTGTGAGATAAAAGCATTTGAATTCTTTGATAGTGCAATGCTAATGGCTCCTGATTCAAGTGAAATGTACACTTTATGCTTGTACTAGAATGAAGTCGCGACTCTTTTCTGTTTATGACAAACATTTGATGTATTGAACAGTTCTTTTACGGTCTATGGTGACATTTTAAGTTAGATATCAGATCGTTTTCGAGAAGAGTTTCCAACTCGGCCCAGAGATCATCGTTTGACATTATAATTTGGACGGAGACTGTTCAGTGTCTATGAATTATCCACACAAAATTTCAAACTATTATTTGTCATGGTTATCGAGTTCTAGAGGAGCGATGAGTACTACAATGCTTGGCATACTTTTGGAGAGCATTATAGTATTCAAATAACGAAATATAATATACACCTAGACAAAAATTGTGACATTTTAGATATCAGATCATTTCTGACCTAGGGACATTGTTTTGATTGACTGTATACAGACAGCATTTACTAGATACATAATTAAACACTTTACGGTTTTTTGACTCAAGATTGAAGTTAAAATGATGTCTCTAGGTTGAGTTATTAACTTTTTTCGAAAATGATGTGACATCTGAAAAACGATCGTTGATGATTGAGGATGCTTTTTTTCGAGAAGTAGCATATATAATCATGAAAAACCATAATGATGGAAGTGAGAGAGAGAAGTTACGAACGACTATTTTTCTTTTTATTTAGACTTGAGTATATTTCTCACTGTCATTATTGTTTTTCTTTATATTCGTAAGAGTGAATTAAAAGGTGATGAGAACTTTTGACATTTTCAAATTGCCTAAATCACTTGTATATGATTTTTTTTCGTGAGAGTGGAAGCCGATAATTAATAGTTGATACGTAAAAGTTCTCGACACTAAAGTTCTGCACACTTTTTTAAAATCCACAGAAATTTTAGAGTGAAGCCCACACACAATATGGGTGTTAAAACCCAAATTAGATTTCTAATTGAAATATATTCAATTTTTAACATAACCATCTATTGTTGATTTAGCCCAGTTCGCCGCGACATGGCGTACAAAATCATCATAATACGTCATCAAGAGGCACACCGACACCACCACCACCGCCACCACCACTGCCACACGAGCAAATTGTCACTGATCCTTTATTAGGCACAAATTCAATAACAATAGATCCCTATCATTACTCCGCATTACAAGACACAAATCAAGCATTAAAAGCGGAAGTTCAACGATTAGCAAAAGTCGAAGAAGAAAATCGAGCATTATCTATACAAGTAAATAATACTATAGCTGTTAATTACCAGTAGAAGAATATTGATCTGTATTTGAAATATTGACAATATTTTTTGCTTCATGTGAAATACAGCACCATAATAAATTCACTATAAAACTAGAGTGGGATTCAAACACTTGATTTGTATTCTGCTCTTACTCTTATTATTTGCGTTTAATATTAATTACTTGTATCTGAGAAACGATTGGTTAACAAATGTTGAAATTTGAAATCGGACTCATTCTAATCTGAGATAATCCTAGATATTATATAAGTCACGTAATGATAATTTTATACATAATACTATCGAATTATTTGTAAGTATTATCTATTTACTAGTGGAATCGCTTGTTAACAATGGAAATATCTTGTAAATCAATATGTTAAATTCTAATTGTTTTTGTTGTTCTATTTTAGCTTGAACAGTATAATGATATTTATAAGTCTTATAGAAACGTTCAAAATGAACTTGTACAATTGCGTAATATTGAAGTACAAAAAAAGAATTTACAGGATGAATTAGAACAAATTCGTGAAAATGAAAAGACAACATTATCTTATTTACAACATGAAAATGATCAATTACGTTCTCAAAATGAAAATTTACTCACAGAATTAACTCGTTTAACAGAGTTAGATGGACGTGAACGATTATCAAAACAAAAATATGAACAAGAAAATGTTGAAAATATAAAACAACTTGATGAATTAAGACTTCAAAATGATGAACTAAAATTAATGATTGAACAATTAAAACTTAACGATAAACAAGGAAAATTACAATATGATACAGATATTAGACAAATTAATGATGAAAATTTAAAACATCGTACAACAAATGAACAATTAAAATTTAATTGTAATTTATTAAAAGAAGAATTAGAACAAATGAAAGAACAATACGAAACAATTATTAAACGAAAATCTATCGAACATGAAAATGAAATGAAATTTTTACAGAATGAAAATAAAGAATTAAAGCAAATTGATAAATTATATGATGAACAAAAGAAGGCAAATGAACGAACAGTTATTGAAAAGAAAAAATTGGAAAATGATTTATTGACAATGAATACGCTCAATGAGCAATGTGCCGAATTCCAAGCACTCGTCGATAAATTACAGAATGAAATCAAAACAACAGTAAGTTATCGATATCGATAAGATTAATATTACTTTTTCGTAATTAGATCTTAATTAACAATGTGCACTGTGTGAAAAAGTTCGAACAACTAGTGAATTTTTTTTGCATTGCAAAGGGCAGCAATTTTTCTGAAGCTATTATTTTCTACTTTCTTTAGTCTTGCTCTTAATAATAACATTTTCTTTTGACTCTATCGTCAATAGAATAATGGGAAAAAAGTATCTCTCTCAAGTTACTCAAAGAGTATATTCCCTCTTTAATCAAAATATTCTTTCAAATTTTTCATTATCTATTCTGTAGATGAGTTTAGTTTGATGTTATAATATTTCTTGTTCATCCTAATATATTCATGTTTTCTTCTAATTCATCGTCATTCTTCTGTTAGTTTTTGGTTTTTCAATCGAAGAGAAATATGATAATGTATATGTGACGCACGTAGACACAAACATTATACATTCTCTCTACATCATGTCGAGTTTTTTCTTATTGCGCTTCCTTTGTTTAATCTGTCATACAAAATCTTAATTGTAAAATCAATCAGTGGGACAAATTAAGTTGCTATTTTCAGAAAATACCATACATAAGATACCAGATACGAGTTGTATTTCTCAACTTTATAAATGAATAGAAGTAGTGTCTATACTATCTGTGTCAGAAAAGTGAACATAGATCAAATATGACACATTTTTCTAATAGTTAAGAAACCCAATAGTGACTAAGCTTTAATCTGACTGATATTTACACGTATTGTCGATGTTAATGAAAACGTTTCAGTCTAAATTGATTTAATTTTATAAATTACAGGATACTCCAAAATTCAGAAATAGACAATACAAATAAGTCTAATTCTAATTAATTATTCACGCTCAGGCATCGGACTATATCAGTGTAGTGATAATAACATGAAAAAACATATCAATTCGAATCGAGATATTGTTTAACAATTCTACAATGTCATTTAGACTTTGTTTCCCTTCAGGAACTTTTCAAAAAACAATTAGTGAGGAAAACAACGGGGGTGGAAGAGTGGAGGAGGGGAGGATTTTACGAATGTATCAATTCAAAAAAGTTTATTTCATGCAAGCCAGTCGACTGTGCAGAGTCCCGATGTGCAATCTGTCTCGATCGGACAAGCTTTTAAAATTAGTTTGATATGATTAAATAGAAGCCAAATTAAGAAAAATGTATTAGAGATGTGGTTCGCCGACTTTTACGTTAAATTGGGTTTGTGCTTGATGATTCTTACCTGAATTTTATTTTTAAAAAATATGTATGTTTTAAGAATGTAACTACAAAGACAAATCAAATATTGTATCTTCTTGTCTAATCATCACTCACTGATGTCTCACCTATAGAGAAACTCACTCTTAAAAAAATATATAGTAAAATGTTTGAAAAGAATTAGATTCTATCTTCTAATATATATAACGGATCTAATACAAACATTATTTGAATACCATTACCGACTTAACTATTTATTCACAACAGTTATAAACGTTATATTGAAACATCTGAGACTAATAGAATGCCTTGTCAAAGAACTTTAACTTCCTTTGATGCACTGCTAATCATCTACATGAATTGTTAATGATTTGGCAATAATTGAACATAATAATATCTTGTGTAGATGATAGTAATCATAAATTGGTATATTTAACGAGATTTTTTCAACTATGAAGTCAATTGGGATGGAATTTTGTTTTGTATGAATATAGTTATCATTCTATAGAATGAAAAAAGTTAAAATAATGTATGAAGAAAAGGCAATGATAACAAAGAAAAAATATTTTCCTTCAATACCCAAGTCTGAACTGTCACACAAATGCGTGAGCTATTATTATTATTATTATTACTATCTGTGAGAAGATTTAATTTCGTATAATCATATTTTATTCATACGAAGAGAAGAGTGTGTAAAAGTTCGTTTTTCTTTTTTCTTCTACTAGACTTTATCATATACTTTATTGTAGGAAAATCAATCGCATAGCATTTGTTTAGTTTGTATTCTTTCAGGTATTTTATTTTTCTTTCTTTCGTCATTTTTCTGTGGTTCTTTTATATATTCAACAACACACATGCCTCTATATCTTTTCAGAAAATCTCTAGTATCTCCATATTAGTAGAAACAAAAAAAAAAAAAAAAAAAAGTACTTTTTTTCTCATTTTTTTTTTTTTTTTTCTAGCGAACACTACTTGATGAAAAAGTCATTGAGTATAATACATTGAAAGAAAACTTTGACAAAGAAAATACACAATTGGTAAGTGGAGAATCTCATCATGCATATTAGCCTTTTTTTTTCTTCTTCGCTTCTTGTCTTGGACATTGTGATTGTAGAAAAGTCAAGTGAGAAGATGAACAATAAGTGAACAAAATAAACATTTTGGTCATTTATTTAGTACATGACTCATCTATACTCTTGAAAAAGAATAAGAATTAAAAATATTCTTTCTATGAATAGAAATCATTCATGATGCAAATCATTTTTTTAGAAAAAATATAGAACATGATAAAAGTGTAGATGTTGGAAAAATCAAAAAAATATAGATCAAGAGTCAAGAATTTTCAAATAAGAATCGTTTAATGAACATATGCGTATTATAGTGATTAAAAATTTTTTTTCAGAAAGAAGAACTTGAAAATGTAAGAAAAATAAATTTACAATTGACATATGAAATTAATGATTTAAAACTACAAAAATATACGGATGATAAAGTATGTATTATAGAATCTTTATGATAAAAATTTAGTTCAATATTTATTTTTTATATTATTAGTTTCAACAAGAATTTGAACATTTACAAGACATATTAAAATTAAAAACAGATGAATGTGATATGAAACGTGTTGAAGTTGATACACTTTCAATGAAAATAGCTGATTTAGATTCAACAATAAAAGTATGATAATAATAGATATGTAGTTTTCTTCTTTTCTACTTCTATTTTTATTTTTTTTATTCATTCATAAATTTTTCTGTTCTCACAATTTTAGTCATTATGTGATGCACAAGAAATTCAACGAAATTTAAAAATTGAAAATGAATCAAATAAACAAGAATTAAGAAAAAAACAAGATGATTTAGAACAATTTCAACGAGTTAGTAAGATTTTCTATTTTATCTAATATACTTGTTTTCATTTAATATATTATGAGTTTAGATGCATGATACATCAAAACAAGAACATCAAGAAACAATACAACTTTTAGAGGAAAAATTACGTGATTTGGAAAAGAAAACTGAATTACAATCATTGAAACATGAAGAAATTCTACTTGAATTTGAATCATTAAAAGCAAGACGAGATCGTATTTTACCTCAAGCATACAATAATAGTCATATTGATACAACAGTATATCCTTTTATATCTCCAACAGTTCCACTTATACACCATCAACCAAAAGTAATACCTCATGTGTCTTCTCAAGACTCTCAAACATCTCCGTCAGACGAGAATGCACAACAATTTCCAATGAAAAAGAAAACAACTATACTTCATCAATCAACAGGAAGTCAATCAAATGAAAATGAACTTGAACTGTCAAATAGTATGAAATATACAAAATTAAATTTACACAATACAATTAGTCTTTTTTTGTTTTTTCTCTTGATTTAGATGAATCAAAATATCGATATCAAACAAAAAATTTGAATCAGGTACATTAATTCTATGAAATAAATTTCTTTTTTAGATTAATTTTATTTTATTTTATTTTATTAGATATCAAATAATCAATTGGCAATAGTTATCGCTAAATATTCGTATGATCCTCTACAATTATCACCTAACGATCATCCAGAAACCGAATTACCGTTAATAATGGGAGATTATTATTTGATATTTGGTAATGTTGATGAGGTATATAATATTATAATTTAATGATATTTTGTTTAATTTTATTATTTGACAAAAATAATTTATGATATTATTTTAGGATGGATTTTTTGATGGTCGAAATCTTGAAGGACGATACGGTTTAATACCATCAAATTTTGTTGAAATTATTCATGATTCAAATGATTTACCTGATACTGTTCGAAGTATTATTCAAAAATTGACAGGAAAAAATTTAAGTAAGTAAATATTTTTTATATTCTAAAATATATTTTCTGTGTTTTTATAATAAAATTTTTAAAAAATAAATTTAGATCTACTCGATAATCGTGATGCAATGTCAAGTGTAGATTCTGATGTATTTATTCCTTCATCATCATCTCATAATAAATCAGGTAAGATTACAATAGTCTCAATCATTTTAATGAATATTCTTTGAGTTTTTTCAATATTAGTTCCAAATAAATATCGTCCCAATATAAATGATCAAACATCATATTCAACTCATAACGGAAATATATCTGATGTATCTAGTAATCGTTCTGACATATTAGCTAATAATGTATATTCTCGTCATAGTACGTATAAAACTATCTATTTTATTTTAAGTTTTTTGATAATTTTTTTTTAAAAATGTTAAAGTTCCATGTCCAACAAATTTAAGAATAGAAAAACAATTATCAAATAGTATAATGATAGCATGGAATCCTCCGTTAATAACGAACAATCAACAATTACATTTAATGAGTTATCAAATATTATTAGATCATAATTTATATTCAACAATACATCCAAATGAAAAAACACGTGCACTCATTGAAAATATAAATTTAAATGAAATGCATCGGATTAGTGTAAGAACATTAACACAATTTGGCTCATCGCGTGATCAAGAATGTACATTATTAATTAATGGAATTCCGGCAGGAAATAATAATAGTGAACAAATATTATCTTATGCACCAAGCGAATTAAAAGTGGATCGAATATCTCAAACATCGGCCGTAGTTAGTTGGTGGCCAGCATCAAATAATTTAGCTCATAAATTATTAGTGAACGATATTGAAGTACAAACATTAAAACCAAATGTTCATCGTTTCAAACTATCTGGTAGGCTGGCTCATCAATGATAATTCAAAAAAACAATAAAACATGAAAATATATGGATTTTTTTTCTTCTTCTAGGTTTATTACCGGATTCAGTTCATAAAGTAACAATCAAAGCTAAACTACCTTCACATCACTCTAAACAGTCACAACAACAGCAACAACTAAGTACATCAACTGAATTTAAAACACTTGCATTTGGTAAGAATTTATATCAAAACTTTTATGTTTTATAAATTCTTAAGTTGTAAGGTAGTCACAAGTTTGAAATTTATCTTATCTAAGATAGTATGAGATTTTTTTTGTTTTTTACAACCATTTCCTAATCAATTATAGTACTTCTTATAGATGAATCAATCGAACCTCCAAAACGTGTTCAGATCATTGCTGGTCCACAAGCAGATACACTACTGGTATCGTGGGTACAATCTACATCATTATCAAACACATTACGTGGTTATCGAATAATGATTGATGGACGAAAATTAGTCGACGTTCTAAACCCTTTATGTACATTAGCTTTCTTTTTGTGTAGGAAATATGAACCTTAAGTAATTTTCTCTTTGTTTTAGCCGATCATTCTGTGTTACATATAAATTCTTTGAATCTTGCTCGATTATTATCCGTTCGATGTATAACAGATGAAGGCGAATCGAGAGATTCAGTACCGGTGTTATTGACTGATATCTTAACAAAGGTACAATTAAGAGAGGTTTTCAAATTTTTATAGAAAAAACAAAATTTTTAAATTACAGCTTGATATGGATACATCATTGACATCAACGATAACAGACGACAAGGATAATGACGGAATTCAAACAGCTTCGACATTAACATTGCATTCGGATGATGAATCGAATGTAATTAATGAATCTGATGACATTAATAAGGTTATAAATAAATATCTATTGCATTTGTCTTCTGCTTCTTTTATATGTTTGTCATGTGTCTTATCATCTAAGTAGTTCATACAGATTCGAGATAATTACATATACGTACTCTTACTATATAATTTTATGTTTTAAACAATCCCTTTTGTTTTTAGAGTAATGTTCCAGTTCTTCCTACTATTCCTTCAAGTCGTGCTGTTGAACCCAAGCCTTTTATTGAGAATGTGAAAATACCTGCAACAATCCCTCGTTCATTTGACACATTACCATCAACAAATCATCGTCAAATAGCAGCAATAAAACCAGATGAAAATGGTATTTCTGCTTCTCTTCCATCTCCTGCTAATATTAAACCAGATAAAATACGTCCAATAATAAAAGAAAAATTGTCTCGTCCACTACCTACGCTATCATCACCATCTTCAATTCAACCAAAGCTAAGTGATGTTCCACAAATTGAAATCAACAGTCCGAGTCCTAGCAGTCCACGCAAAAGTCGAGAAGAACATTTCGGATATGATGAATATGTTCAGCAAACTTCACCTGAAGAAATACTTCCTGTTACACGGATATCAAAATCATCAAATAAACAACAACAACAACAGCCACAGCCACGAAAAATAAAAGAAAATCGATCGGCTTCCAGTAGTAGTTCAGCTGCCAGTGTACGACAACCACTTTCACAACAACAACGTGACCATTCAGATCCAAGATCATCGGACGGTCGACGCAGTGTCAGTGTGGAAAATGAACAACGACGAACGACTCGTAGTTCATCATCCACCTCAACGATTACACCTAATACTGATAAAGCTTTAAAATATAATTCACCTCGACATGCATCATCGTCATCAGATGATCAACAAACATCTAAAATCACATCTCCAACAATAAGAACAGCACATATCAAAGAAGAAAATAATGAAATTGTAAATCGAAAGACAACACAACAACAGCAACAACAAAAACCATCATCGGTGTTTGACAAAATAAAAATGTCTGTTAATCATCGACCACGATTATTTATTGCCTTATTTACCTATGATCCAAATTTGATGTCACCAAACAAAGATAATGATGAAGAATTACCCTTTAGCGAAGGACAACTAATTAAAGTATTTGCACTCAAATTTCATTGCTAAATTACTGGACTTTTTTTTATTTAGATTTACGGTGATCAAGATGCAGATGGATTCTATGTTGGTGAAACACCAAATGGACGAACTGGTTATGTTCCTGGCAATATGGTAACAGAATTACAAGTGGAAGATGCAGAAATTGAAGCACAACTATTACGTGAACAGTTTGGAGAAACGAATCAACATAATCATACAAGTATATATTTAAGCAGCACCTACTTTTTGTCTCTTCATTGATTTTAGAAAATATTTTATTTTCCTTTTAGCAGCTCCAGTACCTTCGTTAACAACAACAAGTGCTCCGCAATCCTTAACGAATAAAGCCTACTTAAAAAATTCAGTATCAACGGCACCTGTAAAAAAAATGATTGCTGTCTATGATTACAATGCACATGAATTGTCTCCTAATGCAGATCCAGATGTTCGTAATTATTGTCTAATGTATAAACTATTACAAATCAGTCTCGATATGTTATTTTCAGGAAGAACTTTCGTTTAAATCCGGTGATATCATCTACGTCCACGGTAATGTTTTGGACGACGGTTACTTTATGGGCGAAATGAAAGGTGTCCGGGGTTTGGTGCCCTCAAATTTTCTGCAAGAAGTAACAAATGATCCAACATCAGTACCACAACAACAAGAAGATGTGATAACAAGTGAAATCAAGGTAAAATAAAGAGTTAATGGACAAAAGAATCTATATTTTGCTTTTTATTCTGACAGCAGCTGTAATTATACTGTTTTTTCTAATAATTGTAGAAATCGTCACCCTATAGACGGTAAGACTTGTTGTGTTGTTGCAGTATGTGTCTTGTTTAAGTAAAAGCAGACTCCTGCGTTGGTTACACTAGTTATCATTGTTAATGAGGTCTAGGAGCGAGAATATCTTTTTTTGTAGTGACTTTAAATTTTGAGTGATTATAGCGTAGCCCTCACTAAAATCCTGATCATCCTATCATATAGACATTTGTTGTGAGATAAAAGCATTTGAATTTTTTGATAGTGCAATGCTAATGGCTCCTGATTCAAGTGAAATGTACACTTTATGCTTGTACTAGAATGAAGTCGCGACTCTTTTCTGTTTATGACAAACATTTGATGTATTGAACAGTTCTTTTACGGTCTATGGTGACATTTTAAGTTAGATATCAGATCGTTTTCGAGAAGAGTTTCCAACTCGGCCCAGAGATCATCGTTTGACATTATAATTTGGACGGAGACTGTTCAGTGTCTATGAATTATCCACACAAAATTTCAAACTATTATTTGTCATGGTTATCGAGTTCTAGAGGAGCGATGAGTACTACAATGCTTGGCATACTTTTGGAGAGCATTATAGTATTCAAATAACGAAATATAATATACACCCTAGACAAAAATTTATTGAAAATTCTGATAAGAATTTTATCGAATCGAGGAAGAATCTTGTAAGAATTTCATAAGCAAGTGATAAGAGTCCCCTTAACTTCTTATTGACTTTTTATACAATTCTACTTCATATCACATCAGATTCTTACGAAATTTTTGCAAGAATTATTCGCTTCTTATTGCCTCTTAGTTTGAAATACCGTGATACCTAAACTATGCTGCATATATACCCAGAAAGTCGAAAATGATGTAATTATCGGCCAGTTAAATTCTTTTTAATACGCTATCAATAGACATTTCAATGGCATATTTTTGGCATTCGATCCCATTATCAGAGGCTGTTTTTACCAATACAACTGAGAATGTTTTAATGCCTTAAAGGACATTTATTTCAATGATAGAAAACGGTCTAAAACAGAGACCGTTACAGGACAGGACTGCCCTGTCACCCTGCCGCTCTGCCCTGTCCTGCCAGGGAATTTTTATTGCCCTGCCTTAGGGCGGGGCAATAAAAATTCCTTGATTTGCCCTGCGAGAGATTGATTTTTGAGATTTTCAAGCTTCTTTTTAAGTAAAATTTGAGATCACTCGTATCTGTGAAAATAAAAACAACAGCCAACTTTTCTAAACTTGATAATTAATAAAAAAACGATTCTGTTATGCACGAGAAACACATCCAGTATTTCTGATGAGTTTCTTGAAGATAAAGTCTTCTAGGTTAAGGAGAAAAACTTTCTTTTGCACTGCAGGGCGTCCTGCCCAGCTAGACAGGGTAGGGCGGCAGGATAGGACAGGGCGAAAAAAGTTGCCCTGCGACGGTCTCTGATCTAAAACAGATATTTAATGGTAACAGTTTTAAGGCCATTTTTACACATTAATTACCAGGTACTTGTCACTTTTATCGACGTTTTCTAAGTACGGCATCTTTTTAACTGATACCGTCGAAAATGCTATTTACTAACTTTTTTTCATTTAATATCCTCTAAAGTTTGAGGTACTATCATCTGCACCAACCCCAAAACCACAGACTACTTTCTAAAGACAAGTTTCGATAACTCCTACAATTGAAGAAGAGAAAAATTCTAAATTACTTAGGAAAATCGGTGTCATTTATACTAGTCATGATGGCAAAATAAAACGGTGAGTGGCTTATTGACCCTAAACTGGCTATTAAATGCCAATTTATGATCAGTTTTTTGCCATTTTCAAATGGAGAAAACAACTGCCTCAAAACAGACATTTAACAGGCACATTTATTTGGCATTAGTTAACGGTCTAATAAATGGACGAAAATGCCATTTAATGGTGTCCGTAAAATGCCATTTTTATGGACATTTTGAGTGGAGAAAAAACATTTTTCGTATAAGAATTTTATAAGAAATCAATAGAAAATTAAAAACTCTTGTCATTTATGAAATTCTTACAAGAATCTTCCTCGATTCTTATCTGATTCTTGTGAAATTCCTTCGACTTCGTGCCACTTTTTATATACGAATCTAGTAAGACTCATGAACAAAAGAATAAAAGCAGATAAGGAGTTGACATGATTCTTATCAGATTCCTATCGCATTCTTGTATAAGATTCGATGACTAGGGCAGAACCATTATTCGTATTTTTAATAGCACAAGCTAGTATATAAAATCGAATAAGAAAAGTGTTTTCATATTGCATGCAGTCTAAATTCTAACACGTCTAATACTTATTCTATGTCAAACAAATTAACTTAAGAATTGCTAGTCACGTGCAAATTTTTCGTCAGCACCGACTGTACTAACGCTTTTATCGATACTTAATGTTTCAGAGAAAAAAAACACATTTGTTAATAACCTAATTCAAATTAGAAAATTAACAATAGAAAATATTATTTTTCTTCTAGGATATCTTTATGATCAGCTTTTACAGTACAAAGCGAACTAGTTCTAATGAAATTTTGTATGGATATGACATGAACAAAATGCTGAGCACCCAAGAAGTTCAAGCTTCTATAACTGCGCGACCACCGGAACATCTACTTTTTAGCAGATTTTCATTGGAATGTAATATTAATTTCTGGTATTGACTCTTACTGAGTAAAAATTGCAGCCATTTTGCGAATAACAGTCATTTTTGCCATTTTCGACAGTTTTTTTAAAAGTACTCATGGTTCAGCTACAAAACATTCTTTTGTTTTGAAACTTTCAGAAAACGTTTGCAAATTATGCACAAAAATCAAGGTCACGCTTTGGGTCGAACGTGTATAGGAGATAAAAAAATGAGATGTTTCTAGTACATCAAGTTTGAACAGTGAACACGGTGCATTTTAACATGGGTAAAAATGGCTGCCGATCGTAAAATGACTGAAATTATTTACCCGGTTAGAGTCAACACTTGTAGTTTATATTATATCTGATAAAAATCAGATGTTTCAGTGATCATGCACCCATATAAGTTGAAACTTCTTGAGTGATCAGCATTTTCTTCGTGTAATATCCACACAAAATTTCAAATTGTTCGCTCCCATGGTTATTGAGTTACGAAAGAGAGATCCATACTTCTGGACAGCACTTAAGTCAAATAATGAGACCCGAGTTCTATTTTTAGCGGTCCTCATCAAGTGTAAGTGTTGATCCTCAATCACCAACATCATCTGTGTTGCCGATAGCATCACATACAACGAACACGACTAGTGATTCCAAACCAGTACAGGAAAAAGAATCATCTTCAGTTATATTAAATAAAAATGTGCTACCAGTAGCTGCCATATCGCACGATGGATCAGAACCAATGGAAACGATTCCAGTGTCAATAACTTCCTTAGCAGAGCAAGACAATGTAAAACCACCATTAACCAAAGGTTTTTTTGATCGATTTCTTGATACATTTACCTGGAATAAATCGGAACCAATCTAATTTATACATTCGTTGAATTCTAGTGCTTCCATAATTACTTTATTCTTTTGTATATACATTTTGTGCAAGACAAAAATATTCTGGAGATCTCATTCTCATCTAAAATAGTGATTGTGTTTGTTCCGTATAAATATACTTTCTATTCTATATATATTTTGTCTATAGTGCATAACCATTCCAATGTTCTTGTTACTTTTCTGGTTATTTCAGAACAGTTTTTCGTATGTAATTTCTTTCTATTTTATATAATTTGCTCAGGATATAATTTGTTGTTGTTATTTTTATTTTTTATGCGCTACTTTTCATTGTTCAAGATTCTATGTAAAATTTTTAGGTTTGAGCATATCGTTTCTTATCAAACAGACTTTATATTGTTTGAACAGTATTGTTTTCCGATGATTTATGGATTTTTTTTTGTAGAAATGAATACAGTGCACTAGACTCTTTTGTTCTTTCACGTGTTTCTTTTTTTATAATAAAAGAAGTAATAATTAAAATTACAAATGATTATATCAACATGTATTTTATTATAAAATTAAAAATATAAAAGAAATAACACTCACATAGTAAGGATACTGTTATTCGAATACTTTATCTAGACTACTAAAACATGGCAATTTTGATAGCTATTACGAACGAGTTGATAATCGATAACGATGATTTAATGATGATCTTTCACGACCAAAACTGTGAACAATATTTTTGAAAAGATTTGGAAATCTTTCTGGTAACAGTAGACGTTCAACGTAAGTTGGAATCATATATCTTCCAGGCATCTCGGGAAACGTAACCAAAACATATCGACTAAAATAACGGTGTAAATTTTAGAAATTAAGAAATACTTGGACGTTTCAATCTTACCTGCATCTCGATGGGATTGATACTGTTCTTTGTGTATTAATCATCGGCTGTATAGTTTCAGTGGACTTGACTAGTTCTGTTGACTGTTCTATTCCAGAGCTACAAAAAAGTAAACTTCTATCGTTAACCCTACTCTCACAAGGAAACATTTAAATACATGTTTAGTTTGGTTTAAAGAGAATCAGATTAACTAACCGGTTTATACTTTTTGAATTAATTGAACTCATTGTTGATTTTGGTCTCTGCTGTAATGGTAATATTCTTTTTTCATTTCTTAAAAAATTTTTCGTTGATGATATACTAGATTTTGTTGATGACAATGTGGCAAAGGAAAGTCTAGAAACAGTTATATGAGAATTAAGTTTATCTTGTTCTACATGTTGTTGTTTCGATGATAACACGCGTGATTTTGTCGATATATAACTCGATAATTTACTCTCTGCACGATTCGTCAAAAGTTTTTCACGATTTTTTTCCAACATACTTTTATAGTTAGTAGAAGTCTTTTGATCTTGAATAGTAGTTTGTGTACCATCAGTTAAAACCGTTGAAGGTGATGGTGATTTTTCGAGTGATGCTCGATAATCAACAAATAATGATGAACTTTTGATAAAATGACCATCTAACAGTTGTTCTTTATTTGTTTGTTCTGTTAAATCATTATCAGGGGTCAAATGATTTAAATTAGATAATTCCGATGATCTTTCTTCGTCATCTGCGTTGGGAATAGTTAGTGATTCGTCTTTATCAGTTTCAGTTACGCCTAATGATTGATCGAGTGGTAGTTGAGAATTTGAATCTCCCGTGGCAATTCTTACTTCTAACGTTCTGCGAGAAATTGGAGTTATTTGTAAATTCGAGGGTGTTTGACCTTCAATACGTGAAACAAGGTCTTTTCTCTTCTAAGTGTGACGGCAATACTTACGTTGCGACTCTAGTCTTGCAGTATTTGTAGTTGTATGTGAGCTTGTATCTTCCAATACTTTTGCATCTTCTTCTTCGTTTTCTTTCTCTGCCAGGAACGAATCTTGTAGTTGTAAAAAGAAGTTTTGTCTTATTTCTTAGAAAAAAAGCTTATCAGTGCAGACTTTAGGTGTAAAGTGTAACACCTTCATTCAAACATGATGGACTAAGATGGAACTGGATGAAATCTATGTTCCAAGTGTGTACGTTTACTATACCGTTGCTCGCTCAAATTTTAGCGAATCATAGAATATATGGATAGTTTCTTAAAACATTGTTTCTGCGTAAATATATTCTCCTTTAGCTAGTCCGCGTTAGTTTGTCCGTCTATACAATTTATACTCAGTATTGTCCGTGGGTTCGCGTACCCCCGTAAGCGTTATGGAGAGGGAAAGGGGGTCGATAAAATTTTCAGATTTCCAGTAATTTCTCCCTGTACAAACTTTCACTCCTTATTCTGCCTCTTTCAGAGAAATTCAGAGCAGGAGTTATTTACACAAAAAGTATTCTCTATACTTACAGTCCATATCGGACGTGCTTATGAGTTCTTTGCTTACACAATGCTTAGAACTATAAGCACTGTCACTTTTTGACGAAACAGCTGATGGCAAACGTACTGATGGAGAACGTGTTGGCATCCGTGTGCCTATAAAACAATATATCTTGAATTGCGATAAGCGAGGTGTGTAACTAATATACCTGTTACTATTTGTCGATTAAACTTATCAATGTATGTATTGTTTGAGTAATACAAGTTGAATAAACTTTCAATATCATGTGTCTTTTGCATGCGTTGTGCGAATGATTTTTGTTTTGATGCTGTTGGTCGAAAGAGTCGTCTTCTCACCACAACTAATGGACTTGCGCTTTCTTTTTCATAACTGGCGACTGATGCACTTTTTGATTGTGTCGAAGAACGAGATGGTGTCCCTGTATTTTGTTGTTTGTTATTAATGGATGACATTAGACTTTTAAGAGAAAGAATCCAGAGTGGCGAAATATCAGTACTTATTTTGTGGATCAGTCACCTTATTTGAGATTTACCGTTTAATAACTGTGTCGCTATGTTTATCGGATGGTGGAATAAATTAGCAAAAAAATTGAGACGTTCCGTAGATGATTGTCAGAGGATTAAAGTGTAAGTACAGTTTGTCTCATAGTCAATTTTGTTTTTACCGTGTATTATATGACAACACGTTGGAAGTGTTTTCTTTTCATTTGGTGTCAATTGCTGAAACCTGTTAATACATCCTCTCTAAAACATTACACTATCAATGAGAAGAACGAAAAAATGTTTTCATTTTTTCTCTTTCTTACAAATTTTCAAAATTTTTAAAACCGTACTTAGCTAACACTTAAAAATTTTTAATGAAATATTATGAGTATGGTACAAAATAAATATAAATAGATTAACTTTTTTGTTAAAAGTCGTTATACATAGTATAAGTTAAATAAAAACAAGATTGTTTTTGTTCTATGCAATTTCGTAGAAAGATTATTTGCGTACATAATCAGACGTGGTAGCTTTTAGACTTATCAACGAACGAATACTCTATTAAAATAGAATTTTCATTCGTCTCACGTTTTAAAATTTTCACAAATGGTATCCAACATTGTCAAAAAAGATCTTTTACGCTCCTTATGGGCAAAAGCACGCTCACCTATGAATGTTTTTACTATAGTAGGTAAGACATGATCACATTGATATGCAATTTAGAATTTATATTTGATTTATTCTATTTGGGACAAAGAAATCTGTTATAATTAAACTTACCAGTGAAACGAGCGGGTTTCAGATCAAACCTTTGCGTCATCGCATCAACAGTCATTTTTGTTCCATTCATTGTTAACAGAAACTACTCTTATCGACAAAAGTTTCATTTTCATTCTTTTCTTTTTTTTGTACGTTTTCGTTAATTTAATGTAAAATAAAGATCTATACACACATACTTCACGCAAATATTAATAGGAGAAAACAACTTGTATTAATTTTTTCGATTCAGTTTTCTTGATTTTCAAACAATCAAATTTTGATTTTTTTCTCAAATAGGAAAGAAAAAAAGCTGGTTTATAAGAATAGACTAAACATATGCTGGTTTCTATCATGATCGGACCTGATTTCACATATGAACGAATAGAAAAGCAGTGACATTTAAAGTACGTATTGTATATGATGCTAAAAATCAATTGTACCGTATGGACTTGACTCTGAAAAATTTTCTTTGTGTAGCTACCATAGAAAAATCCTGTATCCGATCCTATAATGTTAAATCCGAAATAATCTAATCTGACTTCTTTTGAAGGATAAGAATGAATTGAATTTAGTGGATAAATCTTATTGCGTAGTTATACTCCTAACAAAAAATGTACTAAGCAAATTACGATGAATTATCAACAGAAAAAAAAAATACAATGGTTAGAACAATTTGTCAAAAACTTTTGATGGTTTTTACGCTTAAGAAATCCTATTACGTTAATCGGTTTTCAGAGTTTTTCTTTGTTTTCTTTTTATTAAAGATGTGATGTTTTTGAATAAAACACATGTGTGAATAGAGAAAGTACAAAATCACCCAAGTAGTAGAAACAAATAGCGCAAAAATAGTATCAATATATACGAATTGCTCTAGAAAACAACGAATAAAAGCAAAACAGAAAAGATCATTATGATGATGTTGACGATAAGTGAAAGCAAAAATAAAAACAATTACATGAGAAAAAGAAAACAAAAGAAAATACAAGTGATGGTTAAGATCATCAACTTTCTTTTTTCAACGATCCACCAAAATTGAATGATGACGGTGTGGTAGTCGATCGTGCAAAATCATACCCACCAGCTTCACGAATTTTATTTGATTCTTTAAAATAAAAAGATAAAAAGCCATTATTTAGAACTTAGATTTATTAGTTATTACTTGAATCAATACCTTTCTCTTGTCTTCTCTTTTCAGAATAAATTATGATACTTTGTATACTATTCTGTTGCTCAACAGTCAAGACAGATGTTAAAGCAGTGTAATAACCGGTACTGTCGTTTTGTAACTCTAAAAGCAAAATTAGTAGTGAACGATAAACTCTAGAATAAGTCAAGACAAAATTCACATTATTTTGCCTTGAATATGCCCTAAACGTAATCCACGTTGATCATAATAGAAAAGAGAGTATTTGATTTTAAGAAAAAATAACAAGGTATTTTGTTTGTGTATACAAAAATGTGTTTTTTTTTTAAATAAAGATCAACAATTTGTAATAGACTGCGAGAAACCGAATCATCAATAAATACTTTGTAGACTATCACGAAATGTTTGAAATTCATCAATAGCATCATTTGCTTCTAATGCAGTTGAAAAACTTTCTAAATCGGTTTCATCCAAATCAAAATCGCTTTCTCCATCTTCACCATTATCGAATTCATCTAGAGTGTCGGTAGTCATTTCATGATCAGGTACCTGAAATAAACAACGAGAAATGTGTAGTACAGTATTAAGTACTAGATAATATGGCAGACATACTTTTCCTTTTAATTTTTCAACCAAATCTGAGTCGCAATTATCATCATCATCAAGTTCTACGAAAAAAAAAATGAAAATTTGTCAAATATTCAACCCATAAATAGTGATCGTCTAACCTTGTGTATCTGAGTCATCGTTCTCACTTGCATCCGTATCACTGTCATTGTGACTATGAGTATAGGTTTTCATTAAACCTTCATAAACACGAATACAATTTGGCAATAATTGTGGTACAATAGCTGATATTGCAGAATAATACTTTGGATCAATACACAATAGAGTACAGAGTCCAAGTGCACAAACACGTCTATCATGGATACTTTAAAAAAAAATGGTATAATGAGATATACGTTCACGAATATGTCTTGTAAAACTTACCCAGCAAATAATTCACAATCTGTCATCCATTGATGAAAAAAATTACCTATAACAGTTTGTGTTGTCGGATCATTAACGGCTACAGAATTCATTGTTTGAAAAAATAAATCTGGACTTAACCATAGCATAATAATGAACACTTGATTTAACATTAAACGTAATTCACTGGTAGCAATTTCACGCGTAATACGTTTAGCTATCAATTGCACTATAGCAGGTAGAGCCTAATGAAAGTGAATAACAGTAGTCATAGATACAATGCAAAATTCTCAATGCAATAGCAACTTTTCGATTCACCCCTAACCACCGAATAGAGACAATATATAAGTTTACTCTACTCTACTGACGATAAAACAAACTACTTAGAATAAAAGAGGATGTTTTAAAGAAAAAAAACAGTATACCATTGTGATGTGATCTTGGCATTGTAGTATAATAACTTCGATCAATTTAGCAGCATGAGCCTCAGAATCTTCACCCAGATCATTAGTGATCACCTAAATATTATATGAATATAAAACAAAAAAAATTAATTATCGATTACTTTTTAACTAAAACATACATGTTTACACATTTCAAATACGGCTTCTAAACGATCGGGTTGTGATAAAAACGCCTGTGTATCATTCGTAACATAGTTATGTAGACAATTCATAATTTCTAAAGAAAAGCAAATTATTAGTCAATGTTTTTATTTAACTATAAATATATCTACCAGCAAAATAATCAGCTGCATCACGAAAAAATGCTTCTTTAATTACGTAAAATACTTGCCACATCAATGGACTAATATTATTGATTGTCAACGTATCAATTAACGTTAGAATTTCCTCATAAAAATCTATACGAATGAAAAACAATCTTATAGTATTTATACAATCTAGAGCACTTCTAAAGCATACCGAGTATTCCGTTCTTAAGAACCATCACAATTGCTTCGTAAACTATCGCTTCAATTTGAACTAGAATCTATCATGAAAAAAAACAACTGTTAATTATTATTTACCATTTTCTTCTATGCTTACTTCTTGTTTGTTATTCATACAACTAATGATTGTATCAAGAGTGTTTAAAACTCCCATTGCAGCTACAGTTCGTTCTTCTACTTTTGTTTCATCATTCGATGTATTTTCAGACAATACAACATGTTTGAAAAAGTCAACCTAAATAAAATAAAATAATATTTGAATATTCTGTATATAAATATTAACATTAGCTCTCCTTACCAATTGTGAAGTCATTTGTACGGCAATCGGTTGTAGTTCTGTATCAAAGAGTCCAACAATTTTCTGTAGTACAATCATAACATCATCAATTTCTGTTTGACGAATTATTTCAATTATTTGCATAACAATAACTTGTAAATTGGGAACAATGAATTGTTTTCCTATATAAAAATCAAATATTGCAGAAGTGTATAAATAAATGAACGTTTTCTCGAAGTACTACCGTACTAATTCATATTGTACTCTAAAACTCGAAGAGAAGTATCGTACCTTTTTCACCATCACCCTCGGATATAAATAAATTTAATGCCATGGCAGCTTCAACTTTCACTGGTAAACATGCATCGTTACATAAACAACGAATAAAAAAATTCAGACAGTGAGCATAATTTTCTGGTTGAGAAAATTCTAATTTTGAAAAATTTCTCAGGGCATAACAAGCCTAAAAAACGTCAATCAGTGTACTATATATATATTATATATATATATATCAAAAGAACAAAAAACACATACTCTTGCTCGTAAATACGGTGTTTGACTTTGAAGTTCAGGAAATAAATATTGTACAATCATGTTTTCAAGTTGACTAGTAAATGTTTTTTTCTAAAAACAATTCAGTGCTTTTTATTAATATCACGGTACAACGCGTTTTTTTACTTTGATTAAAACATTTCCAATGACTCCCAACATATGTAAAACACCGTCTTTTTGTTTTAATGTAATATTCTCACTGTTTATAACTGTTCCTAAGAAAGTAACTGTTTTCGTTAAAACATCTTTTCGTTTGCATGCTGCTTCATTTAAAAATAATTCGGCTGCTGACACCGGATTGATATATTCATCTAATATATCTTTGAAGGAAGAAAAATATAAGATTAAAAGTAGGATGAATTCTGTAAATAACTTACCTAAACGTGCACGAACAAATTCCACCGGTTCATCATTGAATAATTCAATATCTTCGTCAGTGATGCACAATAAAGGATAGATAATATCTTGGATTAACACGACAATATTATTTGAAACTAATTTCCATGAGAATGCGTGTCGCACACTATTATATGGAAACAATAAGTAGTTTGTTTTCTAAAATCAAGTAATTACCTCGATTCCTAACCTTTCTCGAAGATAATTCAGTGATAATTGGATAACACGTGGTGAGATAAAAATTTTTCGTCTATAGAAATCAAGTAAATTGAATATATTTCCAATAACTTTAGCTAAATAAAGAAAATGACTAATAAAATCATACTGAAAACGTGTGTCCTGAAAACCAACACAATCTGAACACAACTTCTACTAATCTAGATACAAAAGTTGACAAGATACGCTCACAAAAGGTAGAGATTCTTTTAACAACACAAACGTACCAGAAAATCCTTTTAAATAAAATTGTGCAAAATCCAATTTTTCTGGTGTTTGTTGTGCTTTTGCGAGATTAGATGGACTTCCATGTCTAGACCAGAAATAACGTGTTGATGTAAAGCTTAGAGCATGTTTTTCTGTTTACCGCTCAAATGTTCTTATCAGTATGTGAAGTGCCCATTTTTTCAATTTCCACCATGGATCTTCAGCTCGATCATCTTCTGGTAATTCATTCACTCGTGCTGGCAACGGCCTTTCTAGTACCAAACAACATGTATCAAGCCAGTTAGCCATTGTTTCTTTTGGCAATACACGAAAGGAAAGATGAAGCTGTAAAGAAAAAATCAATTGTTTCGGATATGTAAACAAAAACAGACACAAACTTTTTACCTGTATGTAAGCATGAAATATTTTCAATATTTGTTTTTGTGTTAATCCCGATTCATTTGATTCATCATGTGTAAATAATTGCCTTAAACGCTGATGCATCAATGGCAACAATACAATCATAACATCATCTAATGGACCACGATCTTCTACTTTCTTATATCTGGAAAAAAGGAAAAAATATTCCACTACTCACAGAGAAATTACGCAGAATTTACTCATAATGTTGTACAAGTGTGTATAATACTAATAAAACGCTTAGCCACCGATCCAAATTATCAGACGACAAACAGGAGTGAATTTGATTGATAAATCCGGGCCATTTTGTAGGAAAATCATTTTTGATCATTGTACCGGCAGTTGTGATTAACTGACACCTTAAAGCAAAGAATCTCTAAATACTTTAATAAAATTGCACTACTCACAGACCTCAAAGGATCTTTAACATGCATAACAGCATCAATCAAAACATTTCTCAAATAATCTTTATCAATATCAGATATTGTGAATAATTTTGGCGACGGATTTGGTTTTGTAAGTGTTGCCAATGTAATAATATCGTCATCACTTGTATCCGTCGAATTGAGATCACACCAATATGTATGTACGTGATTTTTCAAATAGATTACACCTGTAATACATACAGAAAATGGTTGAAGATAGTTAGAAAGTAAGAGAAGGTTTAAAAACGTACCCGCTTGACGAGTAGCTAAGTCAAGTTTGTCATTTAAAATAATTTGTATAATACACGGGATAAATCCAGGAGATTTGCAAAACTAAGAAAAAAAATTAAATGTTTAGACAGTTTAAAATTATGACTCTATCTCTACAAAATGCATTGATTTACATCACGGTATATTAAACAGATTTAAATCAAATCAAAAAACTTACTTCAAGTAGCTTCTCCTCTGCTTTTTCTCGTACTTGTGGAAGCAATGTAGCTTGAAGAGCTTCAATAACAGGAGCAAGATCCATTTTCTGAACGACTGTAACAAAAATAAAAGAGTAAAACAGAAGACGGAGCTCCTTATCTAAAATTAAATAAAACGAAATTCTACACTTTAAGAGAAATATCGCGTTTCTTCTCCAATGAATTCAAACCTACAAAAAGAACTAATCGCGATTGACACTAAACGCACAGTACAACCGCAATCTGTGTGTGTATGTAAAACAGCGAACAGCAGAAAGGTGTTAGCTCGTCTCTGTCTGAGATGAATGAATGAATGAATGAACATGTGCGAAAGAATGGGAAATGATGGAAACCAATTAGCTGGCTGTTCTCACGCATTGGCTCGTTGAGAGACATCTTGGATTCTCAGTAAATTGGTCCTTAGTACTTTTTATCAATAAACGACACAAAATGTCGTTATATTCTTATGCATAACGAAAACTTCTATTTTAATAAGTTTTTAAAAACCATTGATGTTAGCGCTCTCTCCAAATGACTCATCCTCTCGTTTTTAGTGCTACATCTAGTTTAGCTTTTTCAAGGTAAATTTTGAATTTTACAGCATAGTGAAGAATAGATTGATTCCCTTGTCTCATTTCATTTTCGATTGATATTTTTTGTGCGTATGAGAAAAGTAAGCGGGGAAAAAAATAGGTGATAGAATTCTGTTCTGATCGGTTCAAGATCTTATTTAATGTTGGGTTCTAATAATCATAATAACTGAAAGATAATAGTAAAACAATTTAACTCCAAATAAGATTCAGCCCGGCTGCGGAAAGGAAAGAGTTGAGTAAAAAACATATTTTATAAGCCCGAAATATATTTAAAGAAATAAAAGCATAAAAAATATCAAATATCAATCCATCTAGCCAGAGGCATGTAGATAATTGAATCAAAGTTACGACTATACATTAAAAGTAGTATATAGTATTGCTACAACCTTAGTATGCATCGTTTATTTTGCGGGAAAATCACTGTTGTTTATGCACAGTAGTAGTTATCGATTGATATCGCTAAAGCCTTCCTAACTGTATCAGGTTTAGAATTTAAAATGGACCTTTTTTAATGAGAAAATTGTACTTATTAAAGAATTATACTTATTATGCTACTTTTAATTCTACTTATTAATTCTATTCTCAATTTTGACTATTTAGTTACGTTGGAAGATCTTGATAATCCAATATATATGGTTCTTTGCAATAATTTGTTTTCGTAATAAGAATCGTTTCAATTCTACTGTATCTTTGAATAAACAAGTTTAATTGTCCAAATATTTTCTAGTCGTTTTATTCAATCACGTTTCACTTGGAGGCCGGCTTTTTTTGTCTTGTTTTTTAGTTGTTCTGTGTGAATGCAACAAAAAATTAAAATTAATTTCAGTTAATTGAAAAACCATATAGATACGTTCGCTCAAGCCTAATTTTAACGAGTGTCGAGTGAAACAAATGTTGTTATTTTTCAGATTACATGAATAAAATTCATACACAAGAATATTGTTGCTGTTTTAGTTATTTTTTTAATACCATTGCTCACTAGTATTATTGAGAGTCATGGAAATCGAAAAACTTGATATTGATTCAATCTTTGTTAAATATACAATAAAAGAAATTGTTGAAAATATTGATCAAAAGATTAAAGTTGATATGGAAAAGAAAAAAGAAGAATTAAGATCAATGGTTGGGTAAATTAGACAATATATTTATTGTATGATATGATTCTTTCAATTTGTGGTATAAATCATTTAGTGAACGTTATCGAGAATTAATCGAAGCAGCTGATGAAATGTTTAGCATGAAAAAATGTGCAAAAGAAGTAAGTTTTCAAGCTAAACCAAATTCATTGACAAGAATTGATATATTTTTTTTAAAGGTTGAAACATCTGTTCATTCATTGAATGAGAAATGTTCCAAAGTCGATAATGGTATCTCGTTGCAATCACGAATAAAGTAAATATATGATTTTGAGCGCAAAGTCAATGTTTAATTTTTCTTTTCTTTCTTACAGAAAAGAAAAAGATGATCCAAAAATATCGCTGGCGATTACTATCAAAATTCTAACAGACACAAGACGCCGTTGTTGGATGTACTTAGAAGAAAATAATTTTACAGCAGCAGCTCGGTAGGATCATTTTACCCTATAATTACTCAAAAGATTGATATTCAATCATTTTTCAATGAATGGTGTACACAACTTCATGCGTCATTTTAGCAAATTATCCTTCTCTATTATTTTACACATATTTTCATTTCTCTTTCTAGACAATATTTATTAGCTGCACATATGGCATCATCATTTGAACTCAGACACAATAATGATGAAACAGAAAACATTGATCCAGAAAGCCAAAAGGCTATAATTTGTGCAACACGTTTATGGCATCAAACACGTCATATAAAAGTGATTATTTTAGAAAAGGCACGAACGTATTTAAATATAAAAGATGCTGATGTTAATGTAAGAAAAGAAAATCTGTTTTTTTTCTTCTTCTCTATCCCAACATATTTCTATGTTCTTTTTTTTTAAGTCTTTAGCAAATGCTCTATCGACGCTGATCGCACTTGGAAACAAATCAGTTGATCATGTATTAACAGAGTTTTTAAATGCAAAATTAGTAAGTAATAATTCAATAATCGTTTTCTTGACATCTAGTTTTTAAATTATTTTTTTATTTAGAATTCGATTAAGACTTCTTATAAAAACGCAGATATTAGTAAGCATAAAGTCAAAGTTTTCTGATCATATCGGTCATCTTTTCTTTGTTTGTATTTTAGGACAAAACTCCAAAGATTCAGTTCGACAACTGCTAGTGTTATTTATTAATTCAATATTTGAAATTGACACATTATTTAGTAGAAATGATGATGACGAAAAAGGTATTTATTTGGTATTTTTTCATCAGTCTATAATTGTTATGTAGTAATTGGCAAATTGAAATTTCATGAATCTTTTGTAAATCTGGAAAACAATCTGATCCAACTTTAATCTTTTACTCTTGTAGATGACCGTGATATGTTGAAGAAACATGTCTTGTTATTTTTCTCTTCTAATTATTTACCACAAACAACTTTCTCGTCATCATCAAAACAAATCATTACCGCTGAACAAGATTTTTTCAAAAGTAAATTTAATATTATAAACCATACTGAAAATTATTATTTTTGTCTGCAATTTTTGTCAGATTGTGAATCTGTCGACATGACCACATTTAATGCACAACAAACACAAATTATCAAAGATTCAGTTGAGAAATGGTTAAAAACGTAAGCTTGTTTTGTTGTCTCTTTGTCATTTTATTTTTGATTGTTTATTTTATAGAACATTGGAAGCGGTCAGAATCGGTCTTGGTGAACTACTGCATCATATTCCGTCGTTGAAAGCATTATTGCATCTAAAATCTAATATTATCAGTTTATTGACAGAAGTAAGTAAGAGTATTTTTTCTGTATAAAAATAAAATGTATTATATATTTTTAGAATCGAATGAAAAACTGGCAAGCTGTCTGCAATCGTTTATTGAATACAAATATGGAAATATCTTTATGGAATGATATTATTAAACTGGAACTACGTGAACGAGCAAAAGTAAATAGTTTTTTCTTCTAGAATTATTAATAGGCTTTAATATTTTTGTATGTATTAATTTAGAAAGTTTTACACGCACGATTTGATCAATTTAATCAGACAGCATTAAAAAAAGTGGAACAAAAGTTAGCAACCTTTCAAATGAATTTATCAGGTAAAACGAACAAGTAAGAGAGTTTACTCTTGTTTAATATTTTCACGTTTTATAGGCTCTCCGCCGCAAAAGATGTAATTAAGTGAACCATGTTTTTCATTGTAGATCAATCGATTCAAATGTTCTTGACTATATATGGAGTGATGTGGATAATAATATACCAAGTGATTATGTTTGGCATCCATCGACAACTCGTCTGCCAATTGGTCATGCAAAATTTAGCTTAAAAGCAGTTGCTATACCAATGGATCTACAAATGTAAGCAAAACTATTTTTTGGATCATTTGATTGAAAAAATATAAATATTTTGTTGGTTAAGCAGTGGCAAAAGAAAAGAAAAAAAAGAAAAAGTATTTCGATAATGGGAGAGCAAGGAGTGACAAGTTCTCTTCATGAATTTTCACCGTCACTTTTCGTTGTGGAAAAATGTTTTGCTCAACCGTTTCTCTTATCTCAGTAAAAATTTGTCCGATCGTCCAAAACAATCCCGCTCCATCTAGCCGAAAACACTCGGGATTCTGGAACTGCTGTGTATAAATCATTATTTTGTTGATTATAAGTCAAAATAATATATAAAAACAACAACTCGTGTTTATACGTACTATTTGTTCTTTTTTTGTTTATTTTCTTGTACATCTAAGAATTTTTATTTGCTATCATATTTAGACTATACCGAGAGTTTGACGATGAACTTGATCAAATATTAAGTGATGTTAACGAATTTGTTTTAAGTGATGTCATAGATATGGATAGTTCAAATGAGTTGATTATGACACAATCGACTGTTGAATCCTTTACTGATAGTAGTTTTGTTGCCGAATATTTAGAGGACTGTGTGTTCAATTTATGTACGAGGTATGTATCCCGATAGAATTATTTTCAAACTCATTGATTACTGTTTTTAGTTTTGTAACTCATATTAAACAATTAGCGGATGATACTGAAAAATCAAATGATGAAGAGACAGTCAATGCAAGGTATTTAGTGATAGTTTTTTATCCTTAGATTTTTAACAACGAGATGAATTATATCATTACATTTTCAAAATATAGCATACTATTGTATATTAATGAACTTTTATTCTATGTTATAGTTTGATTTGGCTTAGTTCTTGTGCTCGTACTATGCCCATTGCTTGCAAAAATCTAAAATATTCATTAGGTATAGCAACTGAAGCTGGAAACATTTCAGCGGAAAAGTAAGTTTTAAATGAATTTATAGGATGCGAAATTAGATTAAATCCATTCCACTGCATTAAACTTGAAAGTGACGTCACATATTTTTTAGAAAGAGCCGTCCAAACTCACAATCTGCCAAATTTAAACGTTCAAATTCAAATTTTAAAGTAAGAATAGAAAGAAAGGAAGTATAAAAGCAAACACAATTAGTTTTGTGTATTTCAGCCAGAAAATTCCACTTGGTTAAAAACACATGATTTATTTATGACAGCACATACAGAGCTTTTCAAGTATGTTACCTATTTTTTGATCGAGAGTCGGAAATCATGTGAATTTTCTTTTTTTTCTTCTTCAGACAATGGTTAGATCATCTTTGTTTAACGGTCGATGCACAATTAAGAACGAATTTGAAAACATTTCTAGATGATCTACCAAATTTGGTATAGAATAAACTACGTGGACACGTCTTCTGCTTTATTTATTTTAAACTATTTATTTTAGATTTGGGATGAAATTGAAATTGAAGAAAGTCTTGATACAGATAAATCATACAAGAGTGTTATTCGTATTCCAATGTATTGTACACCATTCATAGAAGAAATATTATTTAATGTTTGTAAACAGATCAATCGAACTTTAGCACACGGTTTAGAAAAGTAGGATCTATTTGAATGTGAAAGTCATCGTTTTTTCTCTTATTTTTTTACTTTAGAGAATTATCTATTGAAATGGCATCAAGATTATTGCATGTATTTTTGAATGTTTATGAAGCATGGTTAATAGACGATGCCAAAAATTCAACAAAAAAACGGATTCAAACACGTGTACTACAAATTATTTATGATTTACGTTTTGTTTATATGTTATTAGAACGAAAAGATGGTTCCATAGTAAGTGTCTGGTTTATACTTGCAATATTTTATTACAACATTTGTTTTTCTTGGTGTTAGAATGCAAAAGAATTGAACGAACGTTTTATGAAATTAATTGATAATATAGAAGCTGAAGTTGATCCATTTGATTTAAATGTACTTTTACCATATATGCAAGCTCATTTACAAAAAATGGGTCCAAGATCATCCGTAAGAACAATACAAAAAAATCTTTTTGTGAATATTTATGTATCTTGTCAAGTACATCGAGACTTGTAGCTATCTTTTTTTTTCTATTTTTGTTTTAGCTTTTATTCGGTCATTTAGTGAATAATGATCGTTTAATTCCATCCAAACCATTGCCAATGAATACTCAAGATACAAATAATATTCTCTTATTATCATCGTGTTCTCAACGTTTTTCGTTATTACCTATTGCTGGAAATATAGGTATAGCGACAAGTAATCAATCATCGATTATTCCTATTTCATCGTCAAAGATTAAATCACTTTCATCCACAGTGAAAGATCTTTCTGCATCGCTAGTTACAAACTCAGATGCAGAACTAATATCAGCTTCCACATCCAATAAACAAATAACATCAAATGTTGCTGAAGTCGCTACTTATTATAGTAAATGGTTTTCGAGTATGGTTAACTGAGCCTGTGTGATCGATATACAGTTTATACAAACAAATATAAATATTAAATATTGGACACGAATCCAGTTTTTGGAATTAATTTTAAATATTTTTAGTATTATTTATTATAAATTAAAATTTAACTTCTGTTTAAAAAATCAATACTAATCTCATATTGCTTTGTCAGTACTAAAACTCTTTTTATAATAAAAATAACAATTTTTTAAGAAATTGTAACAAAGAATAACAATTTTTTCTACGCCGGATATAGAGGAATTATTAGATAAAACCGGCAGTAATCGTGCTTGAAAATAGTTGGTATTGATCTTTATCTTTTAGTGCGGCGGCTGAAATCGTTGTCGAGTTTCCTTTGCTTTTGATAACTATTTGAGCTCTTTCGACAAGCTTGATAGACTTGATCAAGTACTTCGATCTCCTCAAGTGAAATGTGAATCTGATCATTACTATTGTCTGTTTTTGACAGATTAACATCTTTATTCGCATCAAATAATGTTGATCTTTTGTAAATCAAACAGTTTATTTGTTTCAGACACCCTATTACATCCATGAAAAATTTTCGTATCACTTTTGTTGCTGATGGATGAAGAGTTTGATTTGTCTGGTGGTGGTTGCGATGGATCAGAATGCTCCGAGAATTTTCTTTTGTTATAGGACGGTTTTGAAACACTTCTCTTCTCTTTCGAATGCAGGCACCGCTTTTGAAGAATCAGTCGATTTGCCAATAGACAAAACAAATGATCTACTATCCGAAGAAGGTTTGCTAAAGTCATTGTTTTTATCCGACAATGATGAAGAAGATGGTATTTCTAGCGGATCCTCGTCTGAGTTTTTTACTTATAGTTTGCGACTTTGAACTGGCTGATAATTTTAGAAAGTTAATTTTCTAATTTCATCAATTCCTGTTTTACAATTCATATGACAATTTACCGTACCATTACGACTACCAGTTTTATTTCTTCCACCTCTTTGCGCATTTCATATGTCTTATTTCGAACTGAATATATCGTCCTTTCTAATATGTTTCAGTCCTTTTTGTCCCCAGGTTTTTCTTGTTTTTTTAATTTTTGTCAACATCGTGTTTTACACTTGAGACAGAATGAGTAGAATCATTTTTATCCGTTTCTGTATTCTTTTTCTCTTTTGTGGCCGAAACGGATGCCGCTATCAGTAGCGGATCCAGTGACGGCCGCACTTACCTTTCGAACAAAAAAACTATTAAGAAACACTTATCATTAAATAATGTATGCAGCTGAAATTGATAAAGAGTAAGTCGCCGCTGAGTAAGAAAGAGAATGAAGAGTAAGGTGAACTTAAATGGATACAAAAAAATCCTTTAATGAGTCCATCAAAATCAACGAGTCCTTCGAGTGCATGGTCAAAACAGAGCAAACGTTTTGAAGATATTTTGTAGCAAGATTATATCTATAACTGACAGTGTTCAAAAGATGAATAAATCTACCGCCTGACGATATAAATCAAATATCAACGACTATGCGGTATTTGAAATTACTGTCCATCTTATAAGGTCCTGGAAAAAACTCTTTTTTCAATAACTTTTAATAGAAACAAGATAGAGGCCTTGCGGTTTTCAACATTTTGTAGAAGAGACTTGGAGTGTTTTACATAAACACTCAAACCATAAATCCCCATCATTTATCGTCTAGGCGGGAGAAGTATTTTGCTGGAAGTTCCAGCATTGTATCTGAGAACCTCAGCTTTAGGTCGGAGAACCTGAAGATTTCGTGGAAACATCACTGAATCTCATGGTAATGTTTGTTCTCCAAACAAAACTTAAATCATAACGTATATAAGGAAAAATAACTGAGTTTTGGCTATTTTCACGAAAAAGTAAAAAATTCATAATGTATTCAAATCAATCCAGAGAAATTCTATTTTATCTGACAATATCAAAAGTGTCCAAAGTCAATGGAAAGTACTATGGTTCTGACAAGATTTCTAGAAATCTTCTTGAACAAGAGAATAACTTCCCGTAGTTTATGTTCAGAGTCAGATTGGGCAATAGGCAAAACTCAGTTATTTTTCCTTATATACGTTATGACTTAATTTTGAAGTTTTGTTTGGAGAACAAACATTACCATGAGATTCAGTGATGTTTCCACGAAATCTTCAGGTTCTCCGACCTAAAACTGAGGTTCTCAGATACAATGCTGGAACTTCCAGCAAAATACTTCTCCCGCCTAGACGATAAATGATGGGGATTTATGGTTTGAGTGTTTATGTAAAACACTCCAAGTCTCTTCTACAAAATGTTGAAAACCGCAAGGTCTCTGCCTTGTTTCTATTAAAAGTTATTGAAAAAAGAGTTTTTTCCAGGAACTCATGAAATGAACAGTAGTTCTAATGAAACGAGGTATTGTTGTTAGTATAATGCGGGAGCGGATGCAAAAATGGGATATTGTTCTGTTAGCAATTTCGAAACATTTGAGATGGGAAAGCTAGAGAATGTATAAAGAAGACACTTGTTTTTTCTCGTGGTGATATGCTTTTGTATGAGATAAAGGGTAATTTTTCTAAAAAAATTCTTTAGACTTGTTTGTTAAACGGTATATATTTACCATTTTAATATAGTTCTTTATTATTTTTGTTTTTGCGTTTGTTTTCTGAATGTATCGTTGTTAAGCAGTGAAATTGTTTATTGTTTATACAAAATTTATGCAGTACGCATTAAACGTAGATAAAATATATTTAACACGTAAAAAAGGCTCTTTTTGATCATTGGCAAATAATCTGGACGAAAGTATCATCATCACAGGGCATATTTTAATAATAATTTTGATTTGTTTACATTTAAGCATCATTTTCATCACTCGAGGCATCCTCTAATGCTTTTGTTGCTAATTTACGTATATCAGACATTAAACCTGCTATTTCATCATCATGCTCGTCATCATTATTATTTTCAATTTCATTGATATGATGATTTGGATGGAATTCTTGTTGAATTGTTTTCATTAATAAATTTCGTTCACGTTCAAGTGTCATTATTCGTTTTGTTAATTTTTCTAAATCTTGATCTGATTTTAATTGCATATCAGCTAATGTTCGTTGCCATCGTTCTTTCTCTCGTGTTGTTGTTCGTTCAATTTGTCTAAAAATTAAAAATAAAAAAAGTAGCGATAATTTTAAAATATATTTTTAAAAAAAAACCTTGAGTTTGCTAAAACTTTAGCTTGTTCACGTTTAACATCATTTAATTCCTTTTCTAATTGATCTTTTTCATTTAATAATATTTTTTCACGTTCCTAGAAACAAATAAGTAGTGATATATCTATTTCTATTCAATAATTAAAAAAACAAAAATTCTTTTTTCTTACTTCAAATTGATGTTTTAATTCTTCAACTAAATTATTTTGTTTAATATTTATATTCTGTTCATGATGACTATATTTTTCATTTATTAATTGTATTTGTTTATCTTTATCTAATATATTTATTTCATATTGTTGAATTTGTTCACTATTTTGTTGTAAAATAATATTCATCATATTTATTTTTTCATTAACAATTGCCAATTCATTTTGATAACTTTTTTCTACATCTGTTATTTTTCGTTTTGATGTATCATATTCATAATGTAATTTTTTTGCTAATATATCTCGTTCATTTGTAACAGTTTTTAATTCATTTTCTAATAGATCAAGATCAATATAACGTTGTTGTTGTTGTTCATCTGTTTGTAATGCAATAGATATTCGTGATGATGATGAAAGTTGACGAGAAAATAATGTATTTAATAGTACAACACGTTTATTTATATAATTTAAACGTTGTTCATAAACTGATAAATTTTTATTCATATTTTTAAATAATTCATCAATTGTATTAAATTGAAATTTTTCTAAAAAAAAAGAAAACAAAAAATAAAAATAAAATATACAAACAATAATAATTAGATGATTGAATAAATCATTTAATATGAATTAATCTTTCCTACCTATAATACCATAGATTATTTTCTCATTTAATTCATATTCTTTTATTGTTTGTTTTAAATTTTCATTTTCATTCACTTTTGATGATATATCATTGTCATATTGTTGTAATTTTGATTCAATATATCTAACAAAAAATAAAAAATAAAAAAGAATAAAATAAAAATAAACAATTTAATCATATTTTATATTTACTGAATATGAATTTTTCGTTCATCATATTGTGTATTTAATAATTTATTTTCATGTAATAAATCATTTACTTTCATTTGTAAATTTTCAATATCATTAGAAAATTTTGTACGATTATTTTTTAATATTAATTCCATGGATTTTAATTGTAATAATAAATCATAAACTTTTGTACGCCAACAATTTAATAATTTTTGACGTTTATTTTCATTTGATGATGAATCGGTTGGTTCTAATTGTTCTTCTTGAACAGTGAGAACATTATTTATTGATACAAGTCTAAAAGGAGACGAAGCAAAGAAGAAAAAAAAAATATTATATTGATAATAAAAATAAATTCTAAGATATTCATTCAAAACTAATTAATTATATGTAAAAATGACATACTTTAAATTTAGTAAATCCATTTGTTCATTTAATAATTGATTTTGTTTTTCACTTTGTTCTAAACGTTTTAATAATACATGTTTTTCATTTGTAATAGTTTCAATTGTTTGTGTTGATGGTGAATAAGAACGATCATATAATAATTGTTTAATATTATTTATTTCTCTTTCTTTATCATGAACTTGTTTTAAATAATTATCATTATCATATTTTAATTTATCATTTAATTGTTTTGTTTTTATTTCATATTCATTTAATTGTTTTTTATAATAAATTTCTTTTGTAATTATTGTTTGTTCTAATTCGGCAATTGATAATAAACATTTTGATTTTTCACGTTCTAATTCTGATCTTAAACGTTGAATTTCTTGTGCTTGACGTTTAATAATATCTTCTAATGTTTCTTGAACAATATTTGAACGACGAGGTAAACTTATTAGAGTTGGTGCATGTTCTAACAAATCTCGACCGGATGTTTTTAATAGTTCATTATTATTTTTTAAACGACTTATTTCTGTTTGTAATTGTTCAAGTTGTTCATGAACAGTATCCGTATTCATTTCATAATGATTAATTGTAGCATTTGATGTAGTCGTTGATGATATCAATGATGATGGATCAAATGCTGATGGAGGTAATAAAACCATATTTTTACAATTTGCCATATTTTAGAATAGAAATAGTATCAATTTTGAATAAAGTCGTTTGTCAACATTTGTATCTCGTCGTTATTGTTTTTTTTCTTCTTTTATCTATAAAAATAAAATAAAATATTAAATTGAGCAAACAGTACACGAGGTTAGTAAACGAAAAGAGTCATGAGTCTATATGCCTTGACCTATTTTAACTCGAATGAATGGTGACATTAAGCCTTAAGGCTACCTCCCCTCCCTCTCTTTTTTCACCTTGTTGGGAAATGTGGAATAAACGTCTGGTTGAGTTCAAATTCATATCAGAGATAGAACATCGAAAAAGAAAATCGATGTATTTTTACCTAGAATTCTTTAACATGTTTTTCTATAGTTTTTCTGGAAAACTTCGATTTTCATCTATGCACATAACGACCCTATCAAAACTTCATCCAATCGCACTCAAAATGTTATAACAGATACCTGGAACAATATCTAAGAAGTCAACATTTTTTTGGCTTCTTATTTTTCGTTCTCGAGATATGAAAAAAATGGTCAAAACCCTACGCGAAATCTCGGTTTTGGGTTCTGAAAACCCTATAACTCGGAAAGAAAAAATTAAAAGACAAAAAGAAAAATTTGTATTCTGAGATACGATTCTAGGTATGTAGTAAAATGTTGAGCGAAATCAGATGAATTTTTGATAGGGTCGTCATGTGCATCGATTAGAACGACTACAGTTTTGAGCGTTACAAGTGACATTGAACAGAGCAATTTTTTCAGGGTATTTGCAGCAATGGTTATATCTCGTTGAAAAACGTTTAAAAAATCTTTGTAAAACGTCTCATTATGAATAGAACACCTTGCTCTAACAGATTATGCATAAAATTTTTTTGAAGAGATTGTAAAGGAGAGAAAAATTTATGATCCAAAAATCGAGCTTTTTCAGTGTTTCGAACAAAGACTTAAAAAAATTCATAACTTTTTCCAAAAAGGTCGTATAGTGTAGGGCGTGGTTTGGAAATTTTCCACATTAGTTTATGTTCAACTCAAATCGAACTTTTATCAAAAAGGAGGGGGTTACCCTTAAGATTACAGTGACGTCATAACGTATAACGAATCAATTCAGTGCAACTTTGATAATTTTCTTCTTTCCATGTTTATTTGTTCTTCTTTCTGTCGTTCTTTTTCCTTCACAACATAAGAACGCGAATAAATACAAATAATTTGGTTGTTCAAGTAAAAATAGGAGTTCAAATGAGAAACAAATATATTTGAACTATTGTAGTTGAACAATCTACGTTGTTAAACAAATGCTATTTACGACGGTGTGGACCTATAACTATGTGTATGTTTAAGAATCGTAAAACTCTTCTTCGTTGCTTCTCTTTCACACTCATCTCGTTCAGCATTTCTTTAAACAAACTTGGTTTTCATCCTATCATAAATTTTGAACTAACAGACTTTCATTGTAACGCTAATGTGTATCTTCAAGAAGAGAAAAATTGACTACATTCATGCGAATTTAAACGTTGTATACTTACACAACGGTTATAATTAATATTTGTGGTCGACGATCAACTGTTTATATTTCGATGTCATCATTTGTTATTTATAAAATACGCTCTGTTTTCTTTTAATGCCTATAATGAAGAAAAAAGTTGTCTGACTCAAAATGAACTCGCTGTCAAACATCATTCGTTACCTTCTTTCTCGATCGACTCTCTCTGCTTTGAATTATTCTATTCCAGTTTTCTTTTCTTGTAAAAAAAAAAGAAAAAAAAACAGAGCGACGAAGGAAAAGGCAATTTTTTTAAAAACATATTGTTATATACATAGAAAGAAAAGAAAGAAGCAGACTTTACACATTTTTTTTGTTCGTTCATATCTTTCTTTCATATATGCGTACTCTCACTCATAAGCATACACTTTTACAAGTTTAATAAAGAACAATAGTGATGATCTTTTACCATTTCTCTTTTACTAATAATAACGTGATGAAATATATATATAACTTTTAGTGGAATGAGAAAACTCATATCACTTCGATATAAATTAAAATAGAGACCAAACAATGGGCTAGAAAAGAGAATATATATTCAGAAATTAGATACTATCCTTTAAACTTTTATTTTCTTGACCCAACATTGCACTGTTCAAATTGCTTATGTTTTCTCTTCACTCGTCGTAGATAGGAATTTATTCTCATATTGTAGCTTACAACAATTATTTTTTTATTTACTTCCTTATTAAAATTTGTACAAAAAGTCAAATAATTCCAGTATCTTCAAATATTTTGAATTTTTTGCATTTTCTTATCAAAATCCCACTGAAAAACTTCAAAAAGTCAATCTCCGTTACAAGAAATTTTACTAGAATTATAACAGACTAAACGAGAAAATAATTCTTGCTTTTACTTAGTAAAAGTTATGAGTATAGAGCGTATAAACTGGATCAACTAATGATGAGCAAGAGAAATCGTCAAATTTTTTTACTTAACTGATCCATCTCCATGGAACAATCTACAAACGCCTAAATTTTGAAACTCTTTGTAGTTAATGAAAGAGGAATAAAATATTTGTCTTCAATGCATACAAGCGATTGATGAAGTAAAATGGACTATTTTAGATTATGCAATGATATAGAGTAGAAAATGCACACATTGACGATATTATACGGTAGTCAAACTGGTACAGCACAAGATTTAGCTGAAAAATTTTGGTGTTTAGCTCGTTCAACTGATTTATCATGCAAATTATTTGCCTTAGATGATATTGATTTTGATTATTTTATCAATAATTGCAAATATGTCCTGTTTATTGTATCAACAACCGGTGATGGTGATGAACCTGATAATATGCGACAATTTTGGCGTTCAATTATGCGTCGTACTCTAACAAATAAACATTTAGAACATATTTATTATACTCTCATTGGTTTGGGTGATTCAAATTATCCAAAATTTAATTTTGTAGCAAAAAAATTATCAAAACGTCTTGAACAATTGGGTGCAAATATGATATGTAATAAAGTATTAGCAGATGATCAACATCCACACGGAATTGATGGTTCTATTGATGAAAAATTTACTAGTGAATTTTGGCTAAATTTATCAAAACTAATCGGAGTCGAATTACAACCGATGCCTGAAAAACGTTTGCCAAGCAAATATAAAGTAGAATGGATCAATGAAAATAACATAATCAACGTATGTGTCTACAAATTTTTTTGAATCGATAAATATTTAGCTCATAAGACAAAAAAAAACATCTTCATGTTACGCAGGTAGATCTTTTCGACTGTTTGTGCTTCCATATTTCAAAATTGAGAAGGTGACTAGAGCTTGAAGTTTGATGGATACTATTTTGGATACTTAATGTTTTTGTTAGAGTAAAAAAGATTAATTGCTACAGTAGACTAACTTAATCTTTGTTCTTTATGTCTTCTTCTAACCTTTCTAAATATCAACAACAAATATATTTTTGATTAATTTCTCAAGCAAAAAAACAAAATTTTTTTTGAAGATTTTATTTGTTAGTCTAATTACAGCAATGGAAATAGTGATTATCATTATACATCATCCAATACTGTTCGTCATAAATTTTATTCAGTACCACTGATTTCTAACAAACGTTTGACACCCAATGATCATTGGCAAGATGTACGTTTATTAGAATTTGATATACAAGATTATAAACAAGAATTAAATTATCATTGTGGAGATGTAGCTGTTATATTACCAAACTGTTCATTAATTCACATTGAAACATTAGCAAAATTATTTAATGTTGAATTAGATCATGAATTTTATATTAGATCCATAACTGATGATTCCACACCATATGATGAAAATCGTCTCTATACTGTTCGAGAAATATTTAGTGAATATTTACATATCAATCAGGTACCAAATCGTTCATTTTTTGATAAATTAATATGGTTTTCAAATAAAAATGAACATGAATATGAAAGATTAAAAGAGTTAACACAACGAGAAAATATTGACGATTTATATACTTATTGTCATCGACCACGTCGTACATGTATCGAAGTTTTACAAGATTTTCATCAAACAACATCACTAATTCCATTTAATTATGTTTTTGATTTATTCTCTCTTATTCGTCCACGTTCATTTTCCATTGCATCTAGTCCACTAATACATCTAAATTATTTACAATTAATTGTTGCTGTTGTCAAATATAAAACAATAATTCATACACCACGAGAAGGTTTATGCAGTACTTATTTATCAAAACTGAATATAAATGAGCACGTAAAAATGTATATCAAATCATCTGGTACATTTCATTTATTCAATGATAATTTACCAGCTATTATGATTGGACCCGGTACAGGGGTTGCTCCATTTCATGGTTGGATATTGGAACGTGTTTATCATTATGGTTATCATATGAATATGTTATTATTTGGTTGTCGTAATAAAAATGCTGATGCATTTTTTGAAAATGAACAAAATTGGCAAACAATGATTGATAATAAACAATTAGTATATATAGCAGCCTACTCACGTGATCAAAATGAAAAAATATATGTACAACATAAAATAATTGAATATGGTCAAATGATTTGGACATGGATACATGACTTAAATGCTAGAATATATTTAGCTGGTAATGCAAAAAATATGCCTGAACAAGTGTGTGATGCACTAAAAACTATTATTATGAAATATGCTAATTTAAATGAAGATGATGCAAATCAATATATCAAAGAATTGGAAAAAACAAAACGTTTACAACGAGAAACGTGGTCATAATCTACATCCATATGTTTATTTGTTTGATTTTTTTTAAATAAATTCTTCGATCTAGTTTCTCTACCCGATGAGAAGTACAAAATGTTTAATTTTACATAGCTCATTTTTGGTTCCACAAGAAAGATAAGAATAAATATGAAGAATACATTTATCTTCTTAAATTTTTTTCATTACAAAACATTTGTTTGTCTTTTCTTTTAATATCTCTTTTACAAACTGGGACTACAGACAAATAAAAATAAAAAATAAAAAACACTCATGCACGAAATAGACAGACTATAGTTTTGAAATACAAACAAAAAAACAACAAACAAATACATTTGTTCTGTAGGATATAGTTTACAAAGAAAAATAGAAAGCTATCAATCCAATAAGAAACGTCGAATTTAGGAGGTTAGAGTCTGCTAAGTTTGCTCCAATTCGAAAAAAGTAGCTGCATGATTTTTTGTAAACAAAAAGAAAAATTATTGTTAATTTATGAGCATAAATGTACTACAATAAGTAATGCTTCATACAAGAGAGAAAGAAATACGTGAAAAATGGGATAGATGATAGATGAACGAAAGATAAAAATGATGATGTTTACCAAAGATGAGTTTCACGCACTTCGCTTATTATTTGATTTGCTTTATGTAATGCCTAAAAAGAAAAAATAATGATAAATATTTTTGAATTATTAACTATTGTTTATTATAAAGATTATCAAAACACAATAATAGAGACTATTTTGAGAAGTTTTTCCTGAATGCATTCTCATTCTTTAATTTTTTTGCTAAACTATGAAAGAAAACATTGTTTTTCCAATATACAATTAAAAATTTTGTTTTTTTAATCATTTATGTATAAATTGACTATTATAAATTCAAATACTTACTTCGAGCATTTCTTGTGCATCTTTCCGTCTTGTTGCAATGTGTCCAGATTCATCTAATAATTCTTCATGTGCAGTAGTTTTATATAATGATGCAACTAATTCTGATTGTAAATTATCTTTAATAAAATTCACCAAAAAGTGCATGATAGCTTTTGGTACACTGTCTTGAATATTTTTTCTAACAATCAAAAAGTATGAGCGTATCAATCGTTCTAAAATAAATCACAAAACATTATTAAGAATAGAAAAGTATTTAAATAACATTCTTACCAATAACTTCGCAATCACGTTGTTCTCGTGAGGATAATTTTCTAGGATTATTCGTTGTCTTCAATGGAAAAAAACAGATGAAATCTCAAAATAGGAAAAATTATTTGTTCTTCTTACTCCTTCGCCTGACGATGATGTTGTAATTGTAGCTGTTGTTATAGACGTGTTGCCAGCATTCGATGTGTAAGGAGTAGATGTGGGGCCATTTGCTTCATGAATACCATTGACTTCTCCATCTATAATATGATTTAATGTTGTTCGACTAGATTTTACTGTTGTTTCATCAATGCTCTAAAACTGACATATAAGAACTATCATAAAATCTAAAATTTGAGTTTTACATACTCGATGATCTTTTCCTCTTGATATTTCTTTCGATCGTTGTAGTTGTTGTTCTTTTTGTTGTAGCTGTTGAGTCTCGGTTCGATAATCGCCACCTGTCAATGCTTTATGAATAAGACCGGCTTCATAAAAATCTGGATGTTTTGTGTTTATATAGGCTAATTCGATAGCCACAAGATTTTCAACCATTTTATTTGTTTCTGGCAACCGTCTTCGCAGTAGCTGTGTCACAACATCAACTATTTTTTCATGTAATTTCGGAAAACGTATAAATTCTTGCTAAAAGAAGAAAAAAAATGATTTAGTTTTAGAGTCAAAGAGGAAATATGATTCTAAAGAAAATAAGAAAATGACGCTTTATGTACTTAAAAATGTTTTTTTTTCAAAGAAATCGATGCATAGTTACAATTAATACCTGCGCTCCACAATGTTGAATTATACGTTGTAATTCTTCATGTACAAGTTCGACACATCGTTGACTAGGATCTTCCAAACGTTTAATTTGTCGTTTTACTAATAATTCAAAGCTGGAAGAAAAATAAAAACATAAAGCAATGTATGAAAAAATTTATACTAAACTTACCTAATCTCAGGTACAAATAATGCTGGTCTAGGACCCTGAAAAAAAAGTACACAACTAAAAATGTATATTATATTTAAATGTATAATCTACTCTTACTGTTGCATTTCTAATGGCTGTTAATATATCAAATGTAGTTAGTGTATCTAATGGATTTAATGAATCTAAAGCTCGTGCAAATGTTTCATGAAATATATAACAAATTCTTGCTCCTCCACACCTAAACAGAGAATTGCTTGTATTCATTACATATAAAAAATAATTTACTTACAATTCAGCAACTTCAATGTTTCTTGCTGTTCCTTCGATCGTTGCACAATAAGATGAAGCAAATTTAGTGATAATTTGAAGTAATAATCTACCCTACATGAAAAACATTTTATTCTTCTGATAATGTTAAGCAATATTTTTTAAGTTACCTTATCTTCAATGGGTTCACCAAATGAACTGACTAAAGTTTGAAATTGTGATACCATCACATTTATACGTGTTTTTAATGCTGGCAGACAATCGCGAATATGATGCATCAATAGCTACAACAAAGTGGATATTTCAATAACGGCTAACTATGAAGAAAAAAATAACTTACTCTATTCAATGTTTTTGCAAGAAACGGTGTTCCATTCCGACTTGCTATAGAAGGATAATTTTTTTGTAAAAATGCTGCTTCGTAACGTAAAGCTTCTTCAATTGGCTACAAAAAAGAAAAGATAGTTACGAAGAGCATAGTGAGTCAAAATATACATACTTTTTTCTTGTGAATATCTTCTTGACTACGATTAACAACACCGATAATTCCTAATTTAACGGGTATAATTCGTCCACAAAGAACATCGTAAGCATCTGTTCCACGATCCATAAGATCAAGTTTCGTTAAAACAGCTAATGTACGTCTGCCTAATAGAACATAACAATTTTATGTTAGCTATAAGTTATTCATCATAGAATAGACGCTCAATACCTTCTGGATCTATTTCTTTTGCAAATTTGACAGCTTCTGATGTTGAAAAATCGACATTTGCCGGTGTTATTGCAAGTATAATACAATTTGGATTTGTTATATAATGCATGATTAGATTTCGTACTTGTTGTTCAATATCAACTGGTTGATCTTCGACTGGTATCTAAATAAAATACATAAATATATACTATCATTATCTACATCGTTTATTTTACTTACTTTTGTTAATCCCGGTAAATCGATAAGTGATAATGTAACAACTTTTGGTGAATATATTTTCAATATGATCGGTTCATTTGAGATATTCTTGAAAAACATAATAGAAAAACTTTTTACAACTAATATAAAGTAATATTTTCCATACCTTTTTCCCTCCAAGACGATCTGTTTCGGTTTCAATTTCTTGTCGTACTTCATTAAAATCTGTATAAACTTTTCCTTTGATATGTGCAAATACTGCAAATTCATCTTCTTTGGGTACGGATACTAAATAACAAGGAAAAATCAAGAAAATTTGTTTATTTTCTTGTTTCTTGCACTATATTACCTCCTAAATGATTACATTGCATTTCTTTATCTTCTGGTAGAGTATATACTAATTGTAATGTCAATGGTCTTCGGGTAACAATTCCAGCACCACGTGGGAGAAAATCTCGACCAACAAGATTTTCAAGAACAGAACTTTTACCAGCACTCTGGATGAATAGACAAAAAGATAGTCAATATTCTATCATACTAGAGTATCGCAAAAATACATACTTGTGAACCAACGACCACAATTTGTGGAAGTTGAATGGTCTCAGATCCAACAGTGTTAAAAACATCTTGTAGTTTGTTGAGAACAGGTATTAAAGCATCCATGTTGATTCTTATATGAAACAAACAAAATCATCTTTGAGAGCTAACTCTTATATATTTGCTTATTTAGCATGATGGACTCATAAATTTACTTTGCATAACATTTGAGCGCATTCTCATTTTGGTGCATTTCAATTATACCATTCATTCCGCAAAATATTTTAAAACTTTTGAACCATTTCTGTCAGCCTCGTTTCCTATCAGTTGTTAGTGGCTAGTAATAATTATTTTCATCTCAAAAAGCTTGGAACCAGGATTTTAACGTCGATGAGAATGAACTCAAATCGCAACGAAATCAAGTGAAGTCCCACCCCGACAAAAAATTTTCGGCAGCGGCGAATCGGCGTACACCTCTCCCTCACCCTCACCGGATTCCACCTCTTTATCAGAGACGACGACGCTAGGCAAAGGGCTTATGGCTTTTTGATCGATGTTAATGTCTAATTCATTTTTTTGCTGCTTAAAACCAGTAAAAACAATATCTTGTCCTGGTGAGATACAAGAGATTGAAACTTTCTTAGTAATTTCTAATACGTATGAGTTCTTTGTGTACCTAGTAAAACTTCTTGTAATCAAGATCTTGACTGAATGTGTTTTTTATATTTTCGTCTCGTGTACAACCAAACAGCCATAGCTATCAGGTATACGATTTTATGTGACTGTAGGTTTTCCCCCGACCAATTATGTTCAAGAAAGCGAAAAGTTATTCTAAGTATGTGTCGATAACTTTTAAGATGTTCAAAATCATTACCACTTGCATTATCTTGGATTGCTACGTTTTCTAATCAAAATCTTACTGAAAAAATTCAACAGTCAAGACATTAGATATAAGAAGTTTCAATAGGAGATGCATCAACTCGCTCCTACTAATTCATCGTAATTTTGTCACAGTTTTTTTCCCAGTGAAGGATGGAAACATATGCATTTGCATGTATGTATGATGCGCAAAGGTATATGCAACACTGTAGCAACAGTGGTAGTTTTTTGTAACTAATTAGGAGCTGACTGAAAACCATTGCAGAGATTATCGCATAACATTTTTCGAAACAAAAACTGCTTGCGTTCTACTATTCATATTCAATTATTTTATGGTAAAACTTGATAGCAAAACAAAATACTTATTTCTCTATGTAAACATGTATGCAGGACTGTTGCTACGCAACACGTAGAAGCGTCACGGAAAAGGGCGGAGATGAGCCGAAGGATTATTAGTATAAGACGACTATTTTGCTCTTAGGCTCACGTCCTGTACGAATAGATTTCAAGATTTAAAGTTAGAAAAACGAAATATTTGCACACTCCTTTTGCTGACTTTTTGATTATTTCGTTATTTTTTTTTGTAGCAATGGATGAATACTATATCAAAATATTTATTTTACTGCTTCAAATCAACAATGTGTTCTCTCAAATCACACCACTCTATACCGCTTATCAACAAAGCTCAGCATTTATCTCTAGCACAAGTTGTTCTTCATCCCAATACTTCGATATTGCAACATTAACATGTCGATCATGTATATCACCTGCTCAACAATCTTTGACCGGTAAGTAGACGGAACTATGCGGGCAGAGTATCTTGAATATCTTTTCTTAATCAATTCTATGTGGAAAAAATGGAGCAAAAAGGTGTTCTATTTGAAACAGAAGATTAAAATGAAAAGTTTTTCAAATGAAATAGTCATAACAGTATTGATTTCTATAGATTCAACGAAATGTGACTGCCCAACTTCAGCATTTTTTTATCAAATCAACCAAGGTGGTGGTTCTGTGCAATGCGCTTCCTGCCCTAATGGTGTATGCATAAGTCAAATAAAATCTAATCAAATTAACACAGATCTGACCAGTTAACATTTTCTTATTTATAGACACGTTCAACGGATGGCTACGCCTGTATTACTAATACATGTAGTAGTACAATTACAAATGTTTATAGTAATATAACTTTTTATTTCTAAGACGTTTTCCTTCCATCAATAAGGCAAGATACATTTTTTTAGCGGAGTCTGACATTAGTGGAGGTTTATATCCAGTGTCAAGTGCAAATGATTCATTCCCTCGTCAAGGCAGTAGTACTTGTGTAACCTGCGTCAGCGGAACCCTCGCAGATTCTAATAGTCAAAGGTAAATATGATAGCGACACTCATTTATCCTTCTTATATAAAGTGTTTCCTGATTGTTTTTAGATGTGTTTCTTGTGCAAAGATCACACCCTATGGTACTGTGCCACCTTCCCCAATTACTTGTACTTGCGGAGAATTTAGTGTTAGTTTATTAAATACAAAAAGTCGTTCATTATTAAAGGCATTCTCTCTTTATTAAGGATGGAATATGTATGGATCATTTACCTAACGTTTTTTCCACTTCATACAATCAGCTTGATTCGGGCACTTTCCCAGTATGTTTTTTGTATTGTTTAGTACTTATGAATTACATATTATCCCATTTTAGACCACAATCGAGTCGGCATTTATCAATCAACATCTTGAAGCTGCACATCGCTTATGTCGGGTAAATAATGGAACAGAAAACAGACTTATTTACTATATATTATTGATCTTTTCAGATGAATTTAACGTCATCATCTATCATAGCTAATACTCGCTTTCCAAACATCACTTCTTGCCAATTATTGGCTAATATTGTAGCCATGCAACTTTATTCACCGACTGGTGCAATAGTTGCCTACGATAACATTTGGTTGGACAATGCTTGGACATCAGCAGCAGCTTCTGATGTTAGGTAAATAAAAAACGAACGTCTTTTGAATGATAGAATGTCTCGAAGTGTACGTTTAGATCAGCAATACCATTTCTTGTTTACCCTACAACTTATTATTCGGAGATTTACTCGTCCACATACAATATAATTCCATCCTCATTTACTCAGGCATGTATGACACTATGGCCTTTCTTTTGCTTAACGATGTTGTCTTTTAGAGCAGTATAGTTCAGCTAAAATTCGCCAAATATTCGGCGTTAGGCGGATATTTAGGTATGGTTGATGGAATTGATGCTACCATCATGCTTTGTGGTGGTGCATATTCGACTGGTCGGCCAGCCTTCACTTATGGAACGGAATTTCAATATTCAGTAAGTTCATTGTATTATCTTATGATCTCTGATATTTGAATATTATACAAAAGGAAATTTAACTCAAATAATATTTCAACTATTAACTTTTAATATTCGCAAAATATACAATATACAGAAGAGAAATAATAAAATGTTTTCAATAGTAAATTGACTCATTTAACTTTATGGTCTTTTTCAGTGTCTCATACGAACAGATATACTATGGAATTCAACGGATTATGAAACAGCATTTTTTGAACCATGTATCCTTTCCTAAACACGCTTGAGTCAGTAACTGCAATATACTAGCTCTTCTTGAATAAGATATAAGATTACTTAAATTTGATTTCTTAACAAATAAAGATATTGTATTTACAAAAAATGGTGTTAATCAAATTCTTCCCACTGCCGTTGTTATTACCAATTACCAATCAGTAACTCAATCTTTTGTGAATCAAAATGGTGACGAATCAACCTGGTATTATGTTAGACGTTTTTTCCTAATCGATAAATTATCCGGAGTTGATGTTACAAACAGTATGTATAATTATTATTTAGTGCCAATTTATCGTAGTAAGATGTTGATTTAGATCAATTGAAGTATGTCCGATATGCTAAATCAATCACGGTTTTAAATACACTAAATCAAGATGCTGGTAGTATACTGCCACCGATAATTGTTATTACTTATGATGTTCTGAGTACTGGAGATTTAAACAAACAAGAAACAGTTCAGGTACTGAAAAGTTTTTTTTAAGTCGACTAAGTGCAACGGTAGGAGACGTATGATGATTAATCAACGAAAAATAATGCTCTTTTTTAAACATATATTAAAGGGTATCAATTTTTTATATCACCAAAAAAGATACTTTTGATCACCAAATCTTTCGGCATGTCTCAATTACACACAACAGACCGTTCGCTTTATACAGGGAGAAACGCTGGGTAAGATGTGACTGTAGTGCTCATCAATGTACAGTGTGTGTCATGAACAAGCATATGACAACAATATTTTTCTCTTGTACTTGTATTATTGAAACGAAAGCCAGGTAAAATTCTTCGAATTGCAGTTAGTATCATGTCATGAAAATTATTCATGCAGCGTCAAAACGATTTTTAATTGAAATAAATCATTTTTTCGAAAATTAAATAAAATCATAAGTAGGCATGCAATCGTAATCAGTAAAATACGGTAAAACGGAAACAGTAAACCGGTAAATTATCGTTGCATGCCTAATCATAAAGCACTATTCATAAAAAAAAGTTAAGAAACAAAGTGTAGAATGAATTATGTTTTATAGAGATCGTGAGGAATTCTATTTCCAGTGCTTGACTCTGCGCCGTGTGTATAAGATACAAAGTATATTTTGTATACTGCTCTTTATTTCATTCCTTTTCAGAGAAGAGTACAATTACTACTGACGAGGGAACATATCCAACTGTCAAATCGCTTTTCTAACGAAATGCGGTAGCTTATAGGTAATCGATCATGCTGATTCCGAATATGATAGCCGTTTTGGCTAATAGGCCTTTCCTAATCGG